TAGAATACACCCTCCGTTCTCCCACAGTGGTCTGCTAACTCAGGGGAACTGCCCCTGATGTCCATGAAATACTGCAGAGTTGTGTCAGCCACAGAGTTGTGTCAGACACATTACCCACCTTGCTCCCAGTGTGTGTCCTCCACTAGTGCATGAATGTGAATGTTGTGTGTTGGTGGTCGGAGAGGCCGTCGGAGAGCCACGACAGCCCTACAACATCCAGGGCCTTGAGGAACTCTGGGCAGATGTCATCCACCCCCCAGGGCTTTTAACCCCCTCCACAACTGTGGCCCCACAGATAGAAGAGCCCAAATTCGATTCCCCCAGCCCTGCTCTCTCACTGCAGGGTGTGTTGGTGGAATTAAGGAGGTCTTCAAAGTATTCCTTCCACAGCAGTAGCTCAGGAGGTAGAGCGGTCATCCAATAACTGGAAGGTTGGTGGTTTGATTTTCCCCTATCCCTTGTCTGTCCGTTGTGTCCTTGGGCAAGACACATAACCCACCTTGCTCCCAGTGTGTGTCCTCCACTAGTGCATGAATGCGAGTGTTGTGTGGTGGTGGTCGGAGAGGCCGTAGGCACAAACTGGCAGCCACATTTCTGTCAGTCTGCCCCAGGGCAGCTTTGGCTACTAAGGTAGTTTACTACTACCAAGGTGTGACTGTGTGAGCGAGTGAATGATGTAAAGCTCTATATGAAATCTGATGCATTATTATTATTATTATTATTAACAACATCATGAGTCAAGGTCAGCAGCGCACCATCCCCACCATACACAGTGTTGACAGTGTACCCTTTGAGATGCCAGATGGTGGTCCAGAACTTCTTCCAAGCCGTCCAGACGTCTTTCTCCATGGCCCATGTTTATGCCCAAGCAGTAGCTGAAGCCACATTCTGCTTGACCTGCCAGTACCTATCAGCTGCCTCCAGAGTCCTTCAGGCCAAAAAGGCTCTATTGGACTCTTTCTTCAGCTTGACAGCATCCCTCACTGCCAGTGTCCACCAACAATTCGGGTATTACCGCCACGATAGGCACCAACCACCTTATGGCCACAGCCCTGATTGGCTGTCACTATGTAATACAATAAAGTTCTTCTTACTTTCTGATATATAAAGTCAATCACTGCAATCATTGTACACTGAGACACTAGATAATTCTAACCAGAATCAGAGTAACAGATAAGGCCCTGATAACTGGAAATGGACCTCAATAAGAAAGACATTGGGCCCCGTTGAGAAAGAACATGGACTTCCTGGAAATGTTTACTCCTGAGGGGGAGCCGGGCCTGCTCCTTGACACTATTAAATACAGAAGGGCATAAATGGACACATATAGATATTGACCATCCCAAAAATGTGATAATCAGACACCATTAAAAAACTTGTTGACAAGAGGGAAACTAAGCGAAAGATGCCCTTTATCAAAAAGTGTAGAAAGGATTGTTGTTTGATTATGTAGTCCATTGCTGTGCAGAGTTGCTCACTGCTCTGTGATTCTGTGAAAAGTAATAAAAGTTTCTGGATTCAACTTTGCTGGACTCTGGTGCTTTTTGAGAACAAAGCCTAGAAGACTTAAGAGTTTCAACTTAGACCTGACAAACACAGTTAGAGTTCAGACAGTGAAAGTGTTACAGCATCCAAAAGCTGGACCCAATCTGCATCTGGCCCTAAACTGGGTTCAGACTTCAACTAAAAGCATCATGCTATCATCATGCTTACATTATTTTGAATCAGCGGCTTGTGGTGACTTTTGAAAACAATAACCAATATGTAGCTTTAAAGGCACAATTCAAATGACAAAATTATATTTTTCAAAAATATTTATCAAGTATAAAGCAGGAAATCAATCAATCATCAATTAATTAATCTTGATGAAACAGAAAGTCAATGAATACTTCTGTAGCTGTAAAGAAAAGTCCTGTACCTCAGACTGTGATTCAGTAACCTGTCTTTAGAGGATTATAGTCATATTGGGCCTTATTACTGGAGGTAGACCAGTTAAAAGGTCAAGCCGATTTATCAGGCCAATTAACAACATTTGAATGAAGCTTGTGCTCATGAGGTCCATAAAAATACAGTTTAAAATAGAATAAAATAACGTCTGCAGACACTACAGGCAGCCTTGTTAGTATGGCTGCTGTTGGGCAGCGTCAGCACTTTCTGTCTCTTTTGCCATTTTGCATTTCACTGGTGGAAATAGTGCCAACATGAGATTTCACACGATGTTACCTGGTTGAAACTGCATGTTTTATAGCTTGTTGTGTTTATGACTTTAAAAATAACATTGATTTCGCCCATATTGTGCTTGTCTTTTAAATATCTTGTATAAATGAGCAGCAACTTTTGTTGTTGTTGTATCTGCCACTATAACAAAAATCTGGATTAGTCCACTGAAAACACTACGGCATAAAAAAAAACTCTTCACTGTTTTGCCCCACTGTTTTTCCACAGCAGCACAAAATGGCATACAGGTTTAGGGACTTCCTGAATGAGTTGTGCTGGTGGGAAGACAAGGCAGATAAGAATGTTCGTTGTTGTGCTCTTCAGAGTTTGTACCGAGAGATGTTTTTGATGGAAAAGGATTAAATCCATGGATGGATGTAACCATAAATGGACATCATCTGCCTCCTCACTGGGTGAAGCCTTTGCAAGAACAGCACCCCCTACCAGTCATCAGGGGGCCCCTGGTGACTGGTTGCAGTATAGGTCATAAATCTCGCCTCCTCCAGCAAACTTTATGGAGCTGTGGACAAACTTTAGAAATTAATTACACAGAATATAGATTTTTCTCCCCCGTTTGCGATGTTGACATGTAGTAACTGTAAGACTGGTTTGTGTTCAAGTCCTCTTTTTTCTGTGGAGCTTGAGTTATTAGGGGGTTCATGTTTTCTTTGGATGACACTTGATACAGCCTATGGGCGTACAAAGATTGAGTAGCTCACCCGGGGGATCTGCTGTTTGAGCCGAGCTTCATCACAGCGACTCTCCTGCATAACATTACTGTGCAAATGCTGGTTTCAAGGAATGGAGAAAATCCTGGAAATACCAAGAGCAATTTGGCTTCAAATTCGTACAATGACGGGAGGAGGAGCCACGGTGTCCATTCAATACACAGTCTATGAGTTAAACTTATAATAGGCAGACCTCATCTTTAGCTTTGTATGTATATATATATATATATATATATATATATATATATATATATATGTATATATATATGTGTATATATACGTATATATATATACATATATATATACATACATACATACATATATATACAGTATATATATACTGTCCTACTGTGTTTTCATATTGTTACTTTTCTCCCACCAACAGCAGTTGTTTCCAGTGGGTTTAAATGGGCAAACTGGACCCCTTTTATGAACATGTAGACCACTATGGACCTGCTCTCTTACAGGACTGGCGACTGAAATTCCAACATCAGTCAACTCCTACTGATATTAAATTAGGGCAAATTTCTCCAAGAGAGAGGTAAGCAGTGTTGCAGCGCCTCTTGATGAAATATGGAGGTAAAACCTGGAGTACTAGAAAGCAGCTTACTCCTCCATGTCCTGTCTGATGCTGAGTCCAGATCGTGTAATATTTAAAGGGAACCCAGGGAGAGGTTCAGACCGGAGCTACATCATGTCTCATCTCTGAACGAACTGCAGCAGATGTATGCATGACTACCTCTGCGTGGCCTTCACCAGTCTGCCAGCGTGTGTGTAGTCTGCAGAAAGTGAGGCAGGGGGAAATGTGAGCACTATCGGGATGGTTTTGCTCCTTGCAGAGTTTTGCAGAGGTTCACAGAGAGGACGGGAGGCGGGGCCCCAGGGCCTCCCCTCCCTTGCTCTTGTAAGTGATGCTAAGTACTTTGAACATTAGCTTTGTTTCACCCCTGTGTGAGTGTTATGACAAGTAACCAGATGGGATATATATCTATAAATAAACCGCTTTTTCCTGCTGAAATATACAGTAACTTATGTTTTATGCAGTTCATTACTTTGCGGGCTGAGTGAGTCATTTGCTCCTGGCTCAGAGGCAGATTTGGAGAGTGGCCTGAATTTGACCTTTACTGAGCTGTTTCAGTGGTGGGAAAGTCTGAGCAGATTTGGGTGATGGAAGTTAAAACCTAATGGGAAAGTCACCAGAGACTGAACTTCCTCTAACAAAAAAAAGGAAGCACTGAAGGGTTTTGTGCATGCTTTGGATGTCTCTACATCTGGATGAACACACAGTAGAAGGGATCACTTCCTGTTTTCTGCCCCCCTGAGAGGAAGTAAGGACTGTTTGTCCTCTCAGCAGTCAAACTGTGCAGATTTCCTCACAAACATTAGTGTAACCCAAAAAGGCTCATCATGTCTGTTTGAAGCAAAAGGAAAAAATATGAGAAAAGACCTTATAAGAGAAAGAGTGGCTGGAAGGTGACGGGGACTTGTCACGAACAGGCAGCCGTGTGCTCTCACACTACCACCACATGGCACATCTGCTAGTGACAGCAGCACAAGAAAAGACAGAACAATCTGAAATTCAAGCTGTAGGTTGTTGTGTTCAGTAAACTTGTTCTGACCCTGAGAGACCCAGTTCTTTGGAGTACCCCTTTTTAAACCCAGTCCTGATGCAAATCAACCAGGTTAGTTAGTTGGATGATGTATCAAATAACTTCTTACCTGTTGTTGTTGTCCCGGTCCTAACTTGTTTAAAAATAGCTCTATACTTTTCAGTAAATGATGAGTCTAAGTGACTTGAAACATTTACTGTTCTTACTGTCCCAGCTTGTGCCGCCTGGTACGTCAGGTCTCAACCCGCAGGAACCAGGTGAACAAGTCTGGGAAGCTGCTGATCCGTCTCTTAAATCCTGCTCAGGTTCTTTGGCTGCATCAGTGAGGACAGATAAAAGAGCTGAGTGGCACCGCTGCCCGCAGCGACTCCAGTAATCACATTACAAAACCTCATTATCCATCTAACACTAAGAAGGAGCAAAAACAGGGAGAACACCAGAGTAATCACTTTTAAAGTTTTATTCATTACGCTGCAGTTTGACTACAGCATAAGTACAAGCATAAAATCTTTGACTACAACAGCACTTAGAGCAACATTTTTTGATTTTTTTCTTCTTTTCTGTAAAAGTATTGCAATAACAGACCTTAGGCCTAAAACCTATTACATCACAATTGCTTAAATAAAAAGAGGCAAAAATACACAACAATTTTACCTCCGTGTTTGGATATATATATATACTGTATGCTTACTAAATACAGTCACATATATATCAAGATTTCAGCACAGAGGGGGGAGAGGGAACGAGAAGGAGTCATTTTGTAAATAAAGCAAATCGATGTTACAAAACCCATGATGGAAGCAGTCCTATGGTAACTGTCAAGACAGAGAGAATACCAAACTGTTGAGACGTTATCATTGTTATCATCATCATCGTCATCATCATCATCATTGTTAAAATGTGGAACGATAAAATCAGCTACTTTTTGTAGTCAGCAGTTGAGTACAGACTTTTGATAAGTGGAAAGAAGGAGCGCGCTGCAGGGGCAGAAATCAAATAAGGATCAGTCTGAGCCCAAGTTAGTTCTTCAAGCTAGTGCAGGAAACAAAAATAAAAGAGAAGAAAAAAAAACAGAAAAGTCGATTAAGAAGAGAGCCGAGCAGCGCTCCAGCAAAGTTACAACAGAGACTTCTCCAAATTAAAACTACACAACTGCCACTTATTTGGTGCTTTGAAGAGAAAATGGCGCGTTGCTATGTACATCATCTATAGATAAGAATGAACATGCTCTGCGGTTATTGTACAGTGGAGTTATTCTCAGTACATACTGTAAATAAATGACTGCAGATTAAACATGACTTTTATTTCAATATACTGTGCCACTTATAACATTGTAATGTAGAAATAAAAAATGATAACAAAAAAAAAAAAAAAGTTAAATGATAGTTTGAACGGCGTTTTCCCCACTCCTTTCACGCTGGTACAACTTTCCAATCTTAACCCCAAAAAAAGAAAAGGGAATGACCTTTTTTTTTCTGTGAATGTTTGTAACTCTTCCTGCTCATCAGAGGACGGTGAGCCTCCTGAAACGGAGCTGAAATGCTTAAACCGATGCCAGAGCTAGAGCTGTGCTGAGTGTGCTCCACAGATTTATACTTTGGCAGATATACAAAATTACAGCTGAACTAAAATATGGTTAGAGAGAGTGCAGACACATCGTCCTCCATGTTTGGAAGTGCAATGCGACGCCTCAGCTTTCGCTTTTCGATTTACAAAGTGAGTTAAGATGCAGCCGAGGCTGGCTGTCGTCGTGGCATTAACACAAACTGATGTGTGCGTTTTCTGAACTATACATTTGTACGTTGATAGCAGTGAAAATGAACCACCCGCCGGCACCCAAATGATGGAAAGCACTGTGAAAGCTTGTTTTTAGATGATCCAATAAACAAGTCAATAACTCAACAAGTTCCTTAATCCACAGGTTATCTCGTCCTTATCATAACAGACTATTATTTATAGCAAAATATTATAAGTAGTAATTTGTATTTGTGTTGCAACCATATTCTAAGCATACTTTGCAAACCATGTTTCTGATAAAAAAAAAAAAGAGACAAAGCACGTTTTTAACTGTAGGCATTTACAAATTTGATGCTGCCTTCTTAAAATTCTTATATTGTCTATACATTATATTACATTATTCACAACATTTTTTGTGGTTTCTACCCATTGGGTAGGATATGTGCATAATATATTCAAGTTATATACAGCACCTTACAAACAAACATAAAGAAAGACAGACTACTGAAAAAAGCACCGTTGGAAGTGAGGCACAACGAAGGTGGGAGCTTTTTGAGTGCAAGTGGGTTCCTATGTCTGCTCCACACGCTGGTCAAATTACTGGGTGAAATGACTTCAGAGGCCCTGACAGGACCGCCGCTCCTGTCTGGCGTGGTAGGACTGAGCATGCTCAAAAATCCCTGCCTGTTCACCGTCAGAGCAGAGGACAAAGGTTGAGGTTTCGCTGCAGTTTGAAGAGACAGCTGGAGTTTTGCTACACAGCTGCTGTTCCTGTCACCGAATGGAAAGCTTCATTTCGAATCTAAATGTGGCTTCAGTCCACTTCCATACAGTAGATCAAATCCAGACTCCAGAGAGCCACAGCTGTAACATCTGTCCACAACTTCTCACAAAGACAGAGAGGATCTTTTCTGGCAAATACAGGAAACTCTTTCTTAAATATTTCTCCTCCATCCGAGCCAGACAGGTGGTCGAGTCTGAGGAGAGCGTCTGCAACAATTCCCAGCAGCAGTTTGACTGAGGTGTGGTCTGCTCAAACATGAACATTAGGCACCTTATTTACTCACATAATAGTAACATGCAAACCTCCTTGTAGAAAACATAAAATTCATCTTTATGTCCTCAATTTACAAGCAATGACTGCGCAGACAGAACAAGGCGAGAAAAAAAATAAACAGAAGAGGAGGGGGAAAAAAGGAAAGAAAGGTGGGTCTAAAGCAGGTCCGTGCAGTCAAAGGCCAAAGAGTCGGGACAGTCTCCTCACTGACTCACTCAGGCTTCTGGGTAACAAAAAGGTACAAGAGCGTCCTGCAGGACTCAGGACCATGTGGTGTCTCAATGCTTGAGCTTTTGACTGCAGAGGGTCAGATTTCTCTCCTTCTAGTTTTGGATGAGTTAAGGGGGCAGAAGGACAGAGAACTGGTGTGGGGCGGAGTGGGGTGGGGTGTGGGGGCATGAGAAGCAGCAGAAGCAACAATAGTAGCAGTAGCAGCAACAGCAATAGTAGCAGCAATGTATTAACACACACACACACACACACACACACACACACACACACACACACACACACACACACACACACACACACACACACACACAGTTTTAGAGCAGATGGACACATGAACACACTGACCAGAAACACACAACAAACTAGAACACATGCATACATTCAAACACACTGATGCTAATGGAGTCAGAAGGCTTTCTTTTTAACTTTGTCTCTCCACCAACCTAAAGTCTGAGTCGTGTAAAGTCAGAACTGAGCTGCACAAGGGAAGAACTGTCCACTTTGCTCTCGCTCAACAGCATTTCCGTAGAGATCCAGAAATGCGGAGGACATTAATCACTTAAAATTTCTAATTAACTGAAGCATCAAAAGCTTAACTGTATCCCAAATCCATTTCCGCTCACTGAGAGCAATTAATATTGTGTGCTAAACGTCTAACTAGGATGTGAGGATGACAATTCCTGGGATTTGCTCAGCTGCGACAAATTGCTTAAAAAAAATTAAAAGTAAATACAAAACTCTTCATACTTCGCAGTAAGATACATGTTCTAATCTTTGCGTGGGCATTCACTGACAAACTGTGATGATGAGACAAATGTGCCAAACCTGTAGATTTTAGATTAAAAACAGATGCATTAAGTGTCTACTGAATCTGTGGCCAAATAATTTAGAGCTCCCTCTGCTGGCTGGCTGCGGTAATGATCATAACCCCTGCCTCCACAATAAGCATGTTTATATGCAGTTCAAAATTTAGATTTTTTGGCTTAGTCTGACAGAAACCAGACTTTAAAAAACTAGAACACATTAGTCCAACTGAAATCACATTTCTCAAACTTCTTATAGTGGGACTAACAAACAGTGCTGATGTGGTTTGGAATTGATCACCTAGGTGTTCTGCACACGGAAAGTGAATAGCACAAATGTGTTGCCAGGAAGCTGGGTAGTAACCAAAACCTCGACAGATGGAGAAAGGTTGTATATAAAAAAAAGAAATCTTTTCTATTGTACAAACTAACAATGTTTCTATTGTTCGACCTGCTTCCTGTTAGCCTCTTGCTAACACATTTTACCTGCTGTTTTTATATGTCACAAGTAAACCAGATTCATGTCCAAGTGTTAGTTTTAATTAGTTATCTCATTTGAAACAGAGGGGATGAGACATTATGACTGACAGCTCTGTGAATAAATGCGGGCTCCTGATGCTCCTGTTATGGAGTCAGTGAAGTCGAGGGGGAATGGCGAGGATAAATGGAACAAATACTTCAAGTTTTCAACACCATGAGTATTTGCTTCAGATAAACAGGGTCGGTTCTGTTGTGGATTTGGCCCACCTTAAAAAAACATCAGTGTTTAATTGGTAAGTCTTATGCGAGTTTGCTTGTGGAAAGGGCGTCATGTCAGGTACACAACTCTACCAATCAGATTGTTTGTGCACCAGTGTACACAGAGGTGGTCTTCTGGCTTCATATCAGAAAGGGCGGAAATAGAGTGACATTAAGTCAATATACAGTCGGCGGTCTAACTCCAACCAACTCACAATTAGTATTTTAAGTCGATAATGCAGTTTGGAAATGGGACACAGTTTGCTTTCCTGCTTAATGATACACTTCTATACTTTATATCATTTGAGAGGACACTGAATTTGTCCAGAATTTGCCCGTCAATCATTGGTAACTCATTTGTGTTCCAAAGAGCAGTGTGGGAAAAACAAAACAGAAGGCTTTTTAAGTCACCTTTTCATTCAAGAGGTTTTTACCAGGTGGAAAAGTATTCGCAGAGGTCTCCTCTTCTCCAAAACAAACACACCTGGTAATTAAAAAAATCACAGAATAAGGCAATTTCAGCTTAAAAACTCCTGTTTCTCCTTGCCAAGGCTGAAAGCCAGACTGCAGCTTTCTAAGCTCGCAAGCTAACAAAGTCCTTTGGTGGAGTTGAAAGAATTGGTAACATCTGAAACATTTAGAAAACAGTCAGCTGGAAATGTTTCATGTCTGATTTAAGCTAAACTGACAAAGGGGTGAATAATGGAGGTCTCACGGTGAAAAGCTCAAATCCCTTTGTTCAAGTCCTCAGGTACAACCTCACAGCTCTTCAGCTACACCCAGAAAGGTGGAGACTTTGAGTTTGACTGTGACAGACACTTTAAGTTTTCACAATGAGGTCATTTCTGCAACACAATAACACCCAACATACTTCTCTGGCTTCAACGAGAGCTTATTTAATGATGGGTCAATATGGACTGTGCCAAATAAGTTATATGTCCTTGAATCTTTCAACTCAGACAAGCATTCAGCTGATAAATCATCCAGACAAACACACACACACACAACCCCCCGCCCCCCAAACACACACACACACACACACAACACTCCTGTTGGAGCATTAAGTGCTTTTTGTGTTGTTAAAAGGTCTAACAAACACACATATATAGAGACGTACACACACACGCGCGCACACACACACACAGGAGGGTAGAGAGGACTGCACTAGCGCACTGCCAAATGAGGGCTCCACTCCAGTCTTCACTTTAAAGGGCTTGGCGGACTCTGCATCATTTGAACGCACTTTTTCTGCACATGATGGAAGGAAGGAGGGTGAAAAACAGCATTTGCCAGAGACACTGTTAAAAAGCAGGGAGCTCAGGGCAGGGTCAGGGTAGGAGTGGGGTCAGAGCACTGGAGTTGAATGAAAAAACAAGAGAGAGAGAAAAAGAGAGACAGAGAAAGCGCAAGAGCAGAGGAGAAGGCAACGATGAGCAGAGAAAAAGGCTCGATTTTCAAAAAAAGTTTTCTTTTACAAAAAGGACCCTCCCATAGCCCTTTGACTTCGACCACAGACAGTCCTCGTTTTAAACCTGATCGCTGTGCTGGCAGATGCAGACAGGAATCTTCACTTTGTGTAGTCTTGGTTTTTTTTGTGGCTTTAGAGACGTGAAGACAGAGATCTGAGCCTTCTTTTTGTTTTTGTTTTGTGTTTTTCGTTGTCATGGTGGCGGGGTTCGTGTTCAGTGTGGCTGTTGGCAGAATGCACTGTGCATGTCAAGATGAGCAGTGAGAGGAGAGGAGAGGAAAGGAGGGGGTGGAAGAGGGGCAGGGATGCAGGAAATAGGAAAGAGGAAGTGTCAGGTGCTCAGAGGTCAGGACAGAGTTGAGAAGTGAAGAATCAGCTGTTACCAGACTGCTGGGTGGACTGTTAGATATGTTTCAATGTGATGACATACGGTCTTATTCCAGATTCAGAATTCACCAGAAATGTCAGTATGGAGCATGTCAGGTCTTGCCAAGCAGCTCTCATTTTTCTACAAGATTAGAAACAACTATTGAAGGAAGTTAGAAATGTTTGGTCCACCCAGCGACCGGTCACCAGTCCGATTTCTTTCCCACTGGGCTGAAGTGTTCACAGGCGTGAGCCGTACGAGATTCCTCTCCAACTGAGTCTCACTGTGCCTGTGGTGTTAGCAGACAGAGGTGTTGTAGGCTGGGTAAGAGTATTTCTTGCAGTATTTCAAAAACAGGAAGGACATAAGCTTATAATACTTGTTTTTTGCTCCCAACTATTTGAACAACTTTGGAGCCAAAGTTCAGACAGTCAGTCCATTCATGAAAAGGACAAAAAAAAAGAAAACAAAACACATCATCATCATCGTCATCATTACATAGCATAATTCCCTCTTCTCTCTTTTACAACAAAAAGATAGTGCAACTTTTAGATAACTTTTCTTTTCGTGTTTTGAATGTTAGAATGAGTCATTTTCCCCCCTTTTGTTTTGCTTCCTCATGAACCTTGGCACTAAGATTTGGGTTTTTGTGAGTCTCTTGTTTTGTTGTGTTCTCTGTAAGTCCTTGATTCTCAGTTATCGCTTTGTGCACAGATCCCGGTCCAAAAGAAAAGAACAAAAATAAAAACATCATTCTCAGTTCCAAGGGACAGATCCTTCACCCGAGGGGACGAAAAAGCAAATCGTTTCAATCTGTGCTAGCAGAATGTTTCTTTCTCATGTCGAACCAAAAGAAGAGGAGGAAAAAAAAAAGACTCTGGGAGCAGTGCATACATCCTGCCCCTGTGGTGCTAGCGCTTTGAGTTACTAACACTGGAACGAAACTGAAATGAAATCAAGGGTCGGTTCTCTTTCCTTGTTTTGTTGTTGCTAAGGTTGATATTTGTTTGTGCATGGGAGTGAGGAAAGAGGACATGAGAGAGACAGAGAGAGACAGAGAGAGAGAAAGAGAGAGAGAGAGCGATAGAGAGACCACTGCTTACAAGGGTGAGGAGGAGAGACAGTTTTTAGTCCAGGTGGGTGTCCCCCACCTGCCCCTTTCCCCTCTCTTCACACCAGGTCCTCCGGTTGGCCGTCCTTGGCCTTGGCAGGTACTATTGTGCTTTCTGATTGGCTCTGCTGCTGGATCGTCCTGCCCCCTGGCCCCCCCACCCTCTGGTTATTGCTGTGCTGGTGTAGAAAGAATGCTGATCCCGGGTAGTGACCCATCACCTCACTGTACGCTGGCGGGGGGCCCTCCATGCGCCCATGGCTGCTGGAGTTGGCCGCACTGATGCCCGAGTTACTGCTGGGCGGCCTCGGACCGCCTCCTCCTATTCCTCCCCCTCCACCACCCACCCCTCCCAGGCTCCCGCCTCCTCCCATGTCGATCAAGTCACTGTCATAGATGGTCCGGTTAGGCGGTGCCCTCACCGACTCTCGGTTGAGTTCCATCTGTTGCTCGGGGTCACGCAGCTGAAGGGTACAGGGACCCTGGTACGGTGGGGGCTCCTCGCCATCTGACAGCGAGATTGTGGGTGGCAGGTCAATCTGGTGCTGCAGGTAAGGGTAGGTGGGCTGGAAGCGGCTGAAGCGGTCGCGCTGCATAAAGGAGGGAGCAGTGAAGCGATCCCTGGCCTGGGGAGCGTATAACACCTGAGAGGAAAATCAGAGAGAGGGGGAGACACAAAGGAGGGGGGATACAAGTTAGAGAGGGAGGTAAGGGGAGTAGAAGGAGGGAGAGGAGGATGGTTTGAGGGGTGTAGAAAGAAAGGAAAGAGGACAGGAAAAGAAACAATGTCAGTACAAAGAGAACAGTGAATAAAGCTAACCAACATCTGTAAGAAACAGTTAACCTTTGTACCTGTTCAAGCTGGACTCATGTTAGAAGTGACACTGCAACACAGTTTTCATTCATCAAACAAAACCACTTTCTCTGAGGTAAACTAATTAATATCTGTATAAAATTAAAAGTTACAGCTCAAGGCAGAAAACACATCTTCCCTCTGTTTCATGAGCATGCATAAAAAAAAGCCAAGACAGGAAGAGCAGCAGCAAAGACCCCCGAGATACAGAACAGAGTGGGCATCAGAGTCAGGAGAATTCAAATGCAGCATTTAAAGAGGAACTGGGTTGGAAGTGAGTGGCTTGTAAAAGAAGCAGGAAGAGCAGGCAGGCACTTTAATTGTAAAAAATATTCCCACGGTTAGGATTTACCTGAGACATCATCACGCTCAGGTTGGGAAACTGGAATCATGCATTATTAAAGTGTTCCAGGTCTTCAGTCACATAGGCCTCAATTATCCGAAAGACAGGTCTTTTCAGAGTTCACTGACTGATGAGCAGCAGCACAGACTATGGATGGAAATGATCAGGAAAGCAGCCCACTAGCTAACATCGGAGCACAGCTAACTTTAGCATGCTGCCACTTCATAAGAATATGGCTGAGAAAACTCTCACTTTGACATGATCTGCCAGATAGATGTGCAGGAGCTGTCGGCTGATATGGACTGAAAATGAGATCAGCTGATGTGCTGTGGGCTGAGCTGGTTGTATCCTGCCTGGGCTAACACTCAGCTCAATTTTTGGCTGATTCAAACCTCACCAAACTGCATCTGAAAATCAGCCTCCATGACTTTAGCTACAGTGGACTGTGCTTTTAAGAGTTTTCAAATAAACTCTTCACTGAGTTTCACTGAATTGAGTGTCAACACTTGATTCAAATGACTGATGATCCTGTTGCAGCAGCAGCAGTAGCAGGTACAACTGAATCACCACTGAGTTATTAGAGGTATATGCTGCCATAAATACAGAGGGAGGTGAAAAGATGCAAAGTTCTCTCTACAGCAGAACAACATACAACACGCCGTTCCCTCCCCAGGCTTTTGTCAGAAATCTTCAACTCAATTAGCTCTTCACACTGTGTCTGCGTGATCCATTTCTTCATTTCATCCAATTCAACACATTTCTACTGTGGCGAGTCATTATCAGAGGGAGCCCATTTCAATTAGTGACTGTGGCTCTAATAGTCAACCCCCACTGACAAGGCAGTCTGGATGAAGAGAACAACAGACTGGAAGAAAAAAAAAACCTGGGGGGATAGAGGATCAGGGCAAATGAAATGGAGAGACAGAGAGAGAAAGAGTGGAACGGAAAGGATTAAAAATAAAGGCTACTGAGATAAGAGAGAGTACAGAAAGGAGAGAGGGAGAAAAGAGCCATGAGGATAAAGAGAGGACGGAGAGTAAAGGAGCTGGAGAGATAAAGGAAGAAAGAAACAGAGGAAAAAGGAAAAAGGAAAGTAAAGAGCCAGACAGATAGAGAGAGAGACAGACAGACAGAGGGAGGGAGGGGGAGAGAAAGGTGTATCGCTGATAGAGGGAGCAGAGCGCAGTGGAGCAGGGCAGCTCTCAGACGGCTGTCTAGACAGTGTCAGGGGAGGTGTTGCTGATTAATGACGCACCAAAAACCATCCACCCCCCCCCGCCACACACACACGCACACACACACAGACCCCCTTTCTCTGCATTTATCAGCCACCCACACTCATTGGCTGCATCTCCCTCTGTGCGTGTCTCTCTACGGCCTCTTCCTTCTTTCCACGTCTCTCAGGGTGCTCTGACACCGTTTCCCTTCCCTTCATTGCTCTGTACGGCTCTTTCGCTTACTCCCTTCACCTTCCTTCCTCCTCTTCCTCTCTCTATTCATCCCTTGGTGTCTGCTTCTCTTTTTCCCTCTCCTGTGGTGTCATTTAGCATAAAGCTTTAAGCCAGCAGGAGGTCCAAATGACAGCAAACTTGCCCTTTTGCCTTCACAAACTTTCCAGCTAATTGACTCACACGGCCTCAAATATAAGTTATCAGCACTATAATCATGTTAGTGTGTGTTCTCAAGAACTCTCTGAACTTCATGTTTCTAGTGTTCCCAACGCGGCTCCTAAGCTCTTCCATCTGGCATTGATGCCGTTGAGCAAACAGATCACCAGTCACATTGAGTACACTGGCATTTGTTTGCGGTTCTGTATTCTCCAGGCTTTGAGAACACGCCAAATTTGATTTTGTTTGGTGAACAGTGCCAGACGTACCCAGTGCGAATTACAAGCTTCAATTCCTGAATGATCAAATATTTACAAGCAACCAAAATGCAAATGTCAGGATCTCTCTGCCGTGACAGTATTCCTGTAACCACAGAAGAATTATACAAGGGCGAGCGCTGTGAGAGCGAGCCAACCAAGAAACAAAGAGCCAGGAAGAGATGCATGCTTTTGTTCAACAGCGAGTAAAGCACGTAGATCAGACAAAAGACCTCTAATGAGTCTTTCTCTCCTTTAGTTTTATTTCTTACTCTGGTTGTTAAACACTGTTAAACAGATGACTTTTAGCAGGTTATCAGGTGTACACCATTTCTACAGCCCGTGCACTTTGGTAACAATTTACATCAACCTGCCTCATCATCAGCACATTGATAAAGCCTTATAAATGCATTCATTGGGCCTTATAACAGGGAGTGCTGTAAAAAGTTATGGTTTATAATACAAAAGAAAAATCTGTTATTTTTTGTTCATTTACAAATGATAACTCTCACATTGATTAACCTCTAACAAAGACTGTTCACTTATCTTGTTTCATTCTTATTTCTTTCTTTTGAACTGAAATTCATTGAAAATTGATAAAAGAGAGAAAATCACAAACAGGAGTTGAAGTCTATTTTTTGGTTGGAGATTATTTTTTTGTTCATTTGATTTCTTGTAGTTGTTTTGCAGATTTTGAGTCTTTCATACAATCAATAAATAAATCTCAAATGAAATGAGATTTGGTTTTTGGTGTTTCTTTTCCAATATCTTGACAAAATTTTAATGTTGTACAAGAGTTCTTCACTTTCACATCCTTAGTGTGTGTGACTCACTAAAGACGACTTTTGTCAGAGTATTTCCCTGGCCAGCACCCCACAACTTAAAACTGAAACACAAGTCTGTCACCTCAAAGAAAAAAAAAGTCAAAATATGTAAAGATTACAAAGGTTTATACAGAGTTTATTCCTGTATCACTGAAATAAGAGATTACAATGATTCTCACCTTGGAAAATGTCTCTTTAACACTGGATCACTGTAAAGCCTGACTCAGCCTTTAAGTAGAGTGAGGCTATTTGCAATTATTTTCAGGATAGTGGTCTGCAGGGCTTCAGGTAGTGGTCTTTAAATGGTGCCAAAAGTCAGAACAACGACTCACAGTGTGGCAACTTTTTAGGATTACAGCCCACATCTGTGGAATAGCCTACCTGAAGACGTGAAGGCAGCACAGAGTATGTATATTTTTAAAAGTAGACTTAAGACCTACCTTAATAGTCAAGCTTTTAGCTGAGTTTACTATTTATTTATGAGCTGTTTCATTAGTTCAGATTTCAATTTTTCATAGTAATTCTTATCCTTTCTTATTCTATTTGAATTATTTTGTCAGATTTTCTTTTAGTCTCCCTTCTAGTTTTTTTTAGTATGGTTCATTTCAGTGTTCATTAAGGTTTTAGTGTTTTATCATTCTATTTATGTTATTGTTTTATTTATCTATTTTCTTGATCTTCTGATTTGAATTTTCACATTTTAATCCTACCTCTGGTGTTTCCTCATTATTCTCTCATGATCGCATTTCCTAACTTATTCTGGTCATTATGTGCGGTTTAAATTTAATTGATTTATTTATTTGTACGATGAGTATACATACATATCTTCATGAATAAGTGTATGTGTGTGTATATAAATACACACATATATATACATACATACATACATACATATATATACATATATACGTACATATATAGACATATATACATACATATACATACACATACATATATATACATACATATACATATAGATACATATATACACACACACACACACATATATATACATATATACACAAAACACACACATATATACATATATACACACACACACACATATATACACACACACACACATATATACACACACACACACATATATATACATATATATATATACACACACACACACACATATATACACACACACACACACATATATACACACACACACATATATACATATATACACACACACACATATACATATATACACACACACACACACACACACACACACACACACACACACACACACACACACATATATATATTATAAATATATATGTATATATATATATATGTATATATATATATATCATTTTTTAATTTATTCATTACCATGAATTGTCAGCTTGTCTTAATCAGTGTTTTTATTTTAATGATTCACAATCAAGCACTTTGTGCTACATCTCCCTGTATGGAAAGTACTATACAAATGACGTCTGATTGACTCAATAAATGATCCTAATCAACATTTAAATGAAGTTATATGGCTGAAATTAATGTCATTTTTTATATTTTTCCTTTTTCTTTTTTTTCTTTTGTGTTAAAATATCGTTCATTATAAACCATACTTTCATAAGCCTTTATGCTCACTGCTTATTACACTTCACGAACATTACTATGAGCTGTTATGAATCTATGAGCTGTAACTTCTGTGTTGCATTATCAACAGGAAGAGATGAAATCACCAGATAAAACAAAGCGTTTCAAACAGAGGCTGAAATAATGAAATGTTAATACACCAGCGTAAGAAATTTGAGGCTTTTTTTAAAATCTGAAAAATCCTGTTAAGATATTAAAGAGGTATCAGAGAGGAAATATAGAGTCGGAAAAAAATGTAAAACTACCCCCCCCCCCCCCCGAAAAATTGGATAATGCTAAAATGTTACAAAGTCATGTTTCAGATGCTTTTGAGATGCCCAAGGATACTTGAACTGGAAATCTAAGCAATGAAGTGTAGGAGCAGTATGCTGCTGCTGATGTTGTTGTCCTGAGGCTGTGATTGGTTGATTTGACAGGAAAAATCCCACTTTTATAAGAACACAGTACACAAGGCTGTCATGCTGCTGAACTCTTCCTCTGAGAGAACAGGACTGTTTATATCGAGCATTGCCACAGTCCTCCTCAGTCTGCCTCATCACTGCGATCAAGACCTGCCTGTGGGTTTGATATGTGTCAGTGTGGTGGAGGTCTTACCTCTGAGGCACCTTGTCGAGAGCCGCTGTCTGAAGGCCACAGACACCCATCCTACACAGCGTCAGACAAAACAAAAACAAGAAGGAATGAGGCTGAGGATCCCTGCAGAAGACTTCCTTTGTCTCTGAATGAAGACCAATGGATCAGCTAATCTTCGGGAACTTTAAATGTGTTTTTGACAACAATTTAAATTCATTTTAGATTAACTGTTGCTGATAAAGCTTCACACATCAACAAATAATACTGCAGTTTGTTTTGTATGTTTCTGATGGGAGACCATTAGGCTGAGGATTTATTTACAAGTGTAAAGAAAGGATGAAAGGAAAAAACGCCCCAAAAATAGCAATTTAATGAAGACATAAAAGATGAAACAGTGCGGAGAAATGCTAGATGGCTTCAAACTGAAATAGCCAGCCCTGTTTAGAGCAAGGACAACAAAAAGAAAGACAGCTCCTATTTGAAAAACAAGCTACAACAAAGACGAACACCTATCAAATCACTGCAGTTTCTCTTTTTCTACGTTTGACTCCAGGATCTCTCCTCAGAAGGAGAAGTCAGCATTATTTAGTGAGAGGAGAAGAAGAAGAAGCAGAAGAAGCAGAAGAAGAAGAAAAAGCAGAAGGAGAAGAAGCAGAAGAAGAACAAGAAGAACAAGAAGAAGAAGTACAGAAGAAAGAGGCCAGCAGCTGTTCTCCCAAAGATGCAGTCTGTGTCTGTAATAAGGCTTTGTTACCTTTGTGCTGTCTGAAGTTGCATTTATGACACTTTGTGTTATGTGTCTACTTCTGTTTGCGTGGCTTTTGATCTGATTGGACGGTGCATTTAGCCGGGAGAGAGATGAAGACTATGAGTGGGGAGGTTATTAATCTTTAATGAGACAACAAAGCAGACAACAGCTTTTATGTCTTTATCAAAAGAGGAAGAAATCAATATTCTTACAATACAGATCTTATGAGATTCTGTGAGATCATCTAAGGGGGAGATATTCAAGTGAGCATGTGTGTGTCTGTGTGTTTGTCCCAGAGAGTTAGCGTGTCAGTATGGGGGCAGAGCCACTGCTGTCTAGACAGCACTGTAGTGAATTAAACATCAAGGCCTGACAGAGTCTGGCTCTAAAGAAACCAATTCAGCGAGTTCACCTAACAGACTGGAGCAAAGCTGCTACCTCAGTGAAACTGGGACAGAGTCTCCGATCAGGATAAAAGGATTCATTTAGCTCAGTGCAGCTTTACTGAGAACAAACTGGTAGCTATGTTTGTCCTGCTGCAGAAATAAAGAAAAGAGCACTGTCACAATGAGTGAGCAGGGACATTCAGGGAGAACACACACACACAAACACACACACACACACACACACACACACACACACACACACACACACACACACACACACACACACACACACACACACAATTTCTCATTCATTATCACTTCAAAAAGCACAGCAGTGCAGGAGCAACTTAATACAACCATGAAGGAACGGTGTCTTTCTCTATCCTGCTCACTCTCTGCACACACACACATTCACTGACAGATACTCACCTGCTGCAGGGCATGGTCGTGCCTGCGAGCTTGGCTCTGCCTTGTTATGAAGGACCAGGTGGAGAGCTTGTAGTGGTTGAGCAGGCAGATGATCACCACCACCATCACTGTCATCACCACGATGATGATGACGATCTGAACAAACTCCAGTTCAGCTGCAAAAACACACAGAGAGAGAGAAGGTGTCAGCATCTTACACTGACCGGAGATGGAGGTGCATGAAGGAATCCAAAAAAGGTGCACTTAATCTCAAATACTGAGGGTTATTGAGAAACATTACAGAGGAAAAAAAGGGTAAATGACAAACAACAGCTGTAATAACTTACATTTGAAATGAACAAATCCATCACATTTGAATACAACACAGAGCTGCTATCCTAAACACAGACATTCAATGTACAAAACTGACAGTCAATGTGATTTTAGAGTCCCTTTAAAAACAGGACATCATTGTTTGCATAATTCCCTTTAATTGATCTGAAATAAAGTTTTAAAGCTGTAGTTATTCTTCCCAGCAGCTCTTATGTACCATCACATTGAACATTTGTTGATGGGGTCATTACGTTTATTTATGAGTGCTATAAAATGCAGGTGTCTGCGGACTGTTCCCAGGACCATTATTCTGCTAAGCTGTATCTCTAACTAAATCCTAACAGTCAGAGCAGCATAATGAATCTGTTATCTATGATTAGGGAATATGAGGTCTTCAAAGAAACACGAAGAGATGAGCTTACAACAAGCAAAATCACCAGAGTGGACGCTGTATTTCTAAGCTTGGTAAAAAACACTTTTGTCATGTAAAGAAAATATTTAAAGCTGCGACTCTGAGGTATGGGAGCAGCTCCAGAAAATGTGAAAGTCCTGGAAAAGTTCATTTTTTTCCATAATTTAAATCAAGAAGTGAAACTTCTCGATTATGTAGATTCCTCATATTCACAGACTCTTTTCGTTTGACTATTGGTGATGATCAGCTGACAGCTCCTGAAAATCAAATATTCACTAACATCAAAATATTGTGTAAAAGTCTAATTTGTTGTCAGTTCTTTCATTCCTGAAAAGATCTGGGTTGCTGGTGGTCTTGTTGAAATCCAAGTCTCTGATAGCTCCGTCAGCTCGTCTGTATTGATGCTCTGGTGTCTCTCATCTTCCTCATCTTGGATTCTAGGCCTCTCTGATCTTCCTCCAGACTCTGGGACCCTGGTTCCAAATGAGATGTTAAACTGACTACCATCTTAAAATGGGACTTTACACCACTGAGGAACAGTCCAGTTCTTTGTCTTCTTAGTCCAGATGAGACGTTGATGCCATTGTCTCTGGTTCAGGAGTGTCTTGACAGAAAGCCCCTCTAAATTCTTGAATCTTCTTTCTTTGTTGGTTTCTACAGGCTGCTCTTATCCCTATTTCTTGGTCCGCTTTTCCTCCCTCACTTTTTCCTTCAGTCAGCTTTCCATGAATCTGCTTCACACAGACTTTGGGATAAGCCAGACCTTACAGCAGGGACCTTCCTGGGCAGATCCTCCTCGTGGAGGGGGTCAGTGAAGGTCTTCTGGACGTGTCAGTCAACAGTCTAAAGCATGCTTGTGGTTGTGTGTACTGAACCAGAGTGAGAGAATAAAGGCTTAGTAAACCTTTGCAGGTGTTCATGATTGGAAATCTTTTTAGGACAGAAATAACGGACAACAAACTGGACTTTTACACAATATCTGATGTTTTCAGAGAGGGGATTGTTGATTTCCATGAGCTGGGAGCCTTAATCATCAAGAATTAAACAAAAAGAGTGTGTACATATTTCACTTGGTGTGATAAAGTTTCACTTTTTGAATTAAATTATAGGAACAAATGAACTTCTTCAGGACATACAAATGTTTGGAGCTACTTCTGCAGACAGTCTAAAATTCAATCTTGATTGTTGTTTTAATAATGTGTGACACTGAATAAAACTGAATCGGCAGCTGACTCATTCTGATAACAAAAAGAGAAGAACAATCAAAACAGGTCTTGAGAGTCTACACAAAAAAACACAAACACCTACGGTTTGTGAATCGATGCTGTTGGATGTTAAGTGCTGCACTTTTATCATCTTGACTCACATGGAGATGATTTTGTTTTGAAAAGATGGATATTGCTTTAAAGACAACAATCTGCAGCCTATGTCCAAAAGGAGATGCTTTTAAGGACAGCTAGGAAAATCACCCGTTTCACCGTCTGCGGATTAACCCCCACTGAGAAAATCAAGGATACAGAAAACTTTGCTCAGCAGTCATGGTCAACCAAGTGAGGTGTGAGCAAAATGAAACGCACACACACTCAGCAAACTTCAACTGAGTCAAAGTTATCATATCAAAACACAATTTTTAACATTTAAATCAACTTAATGGAGACACAAGCTCTGATCTTAGGCAGAACATATCTGCTGTCCAGTCCTGAGAGTAGATTCAGAGATTCAAACATGTCCTGAAAGGATATTTTCACACATGAAGTTGGCAATAATGTGATTTTATGAAAATATCTGCCTCAGCCCTCATTAATGAGTCACTGATTCCAGTTTTGAGAACTACTTTGACTGGTTGTTATACTTTAAGATGACCAGCAGGGGGTAGCAAAGGTCAAACTCTGGGCTCAGTCTGTTACAGGGTGAGAACATGTAAATCTTCATATGAGTGAGTGAGTGAGTGAGTGAGTGAGTGAGTGAGTGAGTGAGTGAGTGAGTGAGTGTTCAGAGGATCAAACCAGAGAAAAGGTGTTTGTTGAGACGGTGTTGTCTGTCTGTCTGTCTGTTTGTCCAGCTGACAGTGGCTGCTTTGTAAACATGCTGAATAACTGCGGTGTTCCTGTCCTCAGACAGACGGACACACACACCAGTATCAGAACTGGTCTGGATGACCTCCCAGATCAGGTCACCGCTGAGACACACAGTGACCGCTGCCTTACAGTCACGTCTGTTGTGGCCTCTTGTTCATTGTTTGGTGGCTTCGTTCTGTTCTCTCTCGAATAAGTCTGCCTTTTTCTCTTCCCTCCTCTTCCTGCTTTTCATTCCTCCCTCTCTCTCCACCTCTCTCACTCTGTATTCTTTATTGTCTCCCACTTTGTGTCTCTCTTACTCCGTCTATCCATCCTTCCTCTCAGCCCTCCTTTCTCTTTCTCTCGCTCTCTCTCTCAGTCTGCAGTCTGAGAGTCTTTTGTTGTGTTTGTTCTGAGCAGAAGTCTTGACCTTGTCTGGTCCTGGCACACAGTCTGACCCCTGACTCACACTCTTACTCACTGTTGGACACTAACTCACTTTGTGTGTGAAGAGTCTGCCTGTGTTAATGCCGTGTGTGTCCTTGTGTGTACATGCAGCTCTGTAAGAACAATGAACACAGCTTTTTGAGCTACAATAGCTCCATTCTGGCAGACAACTCCTCCACAGAGCTCGAAACACTTTTTGGAAATTATTACCCAGAATGCAGCTGGGCAGTTTCTGACACAACGGGGAAGAAAAAATCAAGAATCTTTAAGAAAAAAAAATTTCATCATGAGACTGATAACAATAATAATCTTACAGTAGAGATTTCAGACCTTATCAGGGGTGAATGAATATTTGGTTCAGAACAAAGATGGAAGTTTAGCACCAAAACAGCTCTACCAAGACTGTCTTTTGAATGATCATGAACTTAATGAACTTTTAAATTTGATTTAAACTCTGTGAGACATAATGCAAAATCACACCATTTCTAAATGATGCAGCATTGTTTAAAACATGTTTCATCATAAAACAGCTTCACCAGCATCAAACAGCATCTACTCTTTACAATTAACTCAACACTGACACTCAAACTAGGATAGGCCTTCATCCTGGTTTTGAGAAACCTGATTTGACAACCTAGAGAACTCTTAAAAAAGCAGGAATCTCTGGCATTGATACATTCATATGTAAATTATGCCTTTGCAGGTGCATCCCCAGCAAAACCAGCGACAGGTGTGCTTGATTGAATTCAAAAAGCTGACTTTTGTCTCGTGAGTGAAAATTAGAATTGACTGATGAATAGGTTAGCCGATTAATCATCTACAACTACATAGGCTCCACTCTTATCATGCATTACTCCTAACATTAATATAGACATAACAGAGGAGTTATAAAGTCAACCCAACTCTGCAGATAAAGAACTGAGCAGGACTTTTTTAGTGCTATGGGCTGCAATTCTGCTACCAAACAACAAACTGAATATAATCTCTTGGGCTGTGTCTGAAATGAATCACTCAATCCCTAACCCTTAACCCTGATATGGGATTTTACTATATCGTTGACTGTGTAGTGAACTCAATTAGCGGAGGTTTCCGACACTACATGGCAAGACGCAATGCATGACGGGATGTCCGCCACCGGTGACTGACCATCGGATGGTCACTACATTTTGCAATGCTTTATGGGAAATATTGAGTCACCTGTATTGGGCACTGGAATTGATCACTGAGGTTTTGGACATCCCTCAAAATGGTGCTAACCCCCATGTAGTCACCTATATAGGGGTTAGAGATCCATTTCGGACACAGCCTTGGTGTTTTTTGACTTTTCAGATCAGCCTCTGGTGGACACTTGAAGAACTGCAGCTTTTAAAAAGTCTGCAGCCTTGTCACTTTTACACCCTAAATGTTGCAGCTCGAACTTGTCACATGACCCTTTGTAGTAATGACAACCCCAAACAGCATTTGGGTCACATGACTCACTGATACATCCTAATTGGCTAAAACTGAGCTGATAGTTTTGACATATATCTCTGGCTTTGAAGAAAATCTTTGCTCTTAGAAAAAAAAAAAAGAATCACACAGAAGTGGGAGCAGTCTGGTCTAGGTTTCTCAGGCTGAGTAATCCACTTGGTGACTATGGAACCTCAGTTGAAATATAAACCCACCCAAACCTGCCTCTGCCCCACCACAGCAGCCACAGGCGACCGGTGGGGGTAAGACTGGGAGGGAGAATGCCAATCAGCGCAAACCACATGGAAGACAACATAACGCAGTGAAGAAAAAAAGCCCGAGCCTCTGAAACTTACCAACATTAACCACCACAGAGCAGAGGTATGAGGCGGAACAAGGACAGACAAGCCCAACGACTGGAGCTGTGAGGAGCTGTGAAGAGCTGTAGACGAGCCACAGAAGTGACTCAAACACATCTCATTCATAAATTCATTAGTTTTAAAAAAGCAACAGGCACAACAACACTGCAGTGCACTGGCCTCCAACAAAATTAACAGACACATTCAGTCCAACATTTCTTATCTTAGGGGGGGAATGAGTGTCGAACCTGACCCATTTTTCACACCAGACTTAAAGTTTTTAAGCAATTCATCACAATATGAGTCATCGAATGTGACACAGCAAGGACTGAGGGAACAGAGAGAGCTGAGACTGTAGATCATGAACCAAAGACTGCTATAAATGACCGTCTGGTAACATCATCAACCATGCACTAGGGGAAAAGACAGGAATGTTCTGGAAAAGAAAAGAAAAGGCCTTTGCACCAAGTTTGTAGGAAAAAACTGCGTAATAAGCCATGAGGGAGAGGAGAAGTTTCATTTCAGCGACATAACTTTGAAGATCTGCTTTATTCATGTCTGGAGAAACTATATCACTGTCTCTTTTTGTCCAGTGTAGAGGTAGACATCTAAGTTTCATCATGATTGTCACTACATAACTAAGAGCAGCAGAAAACGTTGATTTTAGGCAGTCTTCATGACTATTAAGAGTTAGTCATTCTTGGAAAACATCCAGAAAGTGTTGATGACTCATCCTGCACTCTGGGCGTTTTTGACTTTTTCATCAAAGGAAACGCTTTCTTTTTCCCCATCTTTCCCATGAAACACAGAATTTATAAGCCAGCAAGTCTGTGCTTGGAAAGACCACTAAGAGAAGACCCTGAGTTTAATACTTGCACATTTTTGTAATTTGGTTCCACTGAACACAGATCCGGTCTCCAAATGACCCTTAAAATGACCCTTTGTTCACAGCATTACATCCAAATCATCCAGAGCGGTCTCACAGCAGTAAAAAAACAGTAAACACTGTGGAATTAAGTGTTTTTTCAATGGAAAAGTCTTTTTATGTTTGCATTTAGTCCATCAATCAAGTAACGACACCCTTGCTACATGTCTTGAGCCAAAATTTCTTGATCCGTTAAAAAATTTGCGGGATCAGATAATCTGAATCCACCGTTCATATGGGCGCAAGATCAAATAATCCGATCATGATGTGCGGATACATGCACCAAGCTTTATCTAGATTAGAAGCATTTGGACATGGGCAGAGTTGTCTAATTTTGCTAAAACAACCGCAGAAGAAGAGTTGTATTTACGCCTGTGCTGTCAACAAACGCAGTAGTGGCTCACTTCATGCAATTCAGGCTATTCTCCCTGTTAAATGTTGTCACTAGATGGCGTCCTTGCTCACTTATTTTACTGTCCTGTCAAAGGTTGCGCTATGCGTTGTGACATCATTACGCTGCATGTATGCCTTATGTTAGCAGAAGAGCAGACACGGCACCTGCGGTTGTGTTTTATGTCAGAGTGTTAAAAATGAAACCTCCTGTACTGGCCTCAACAGATAAACCAAAGGGTTAAGAGTTAGATCAAGTCAGGTAAGAGAGTCACGACCTGAATAAGTATTTACATTGACACGTTTCGGAATAATGATTGGCATATTGATTTTTTTTTTGCGCAATTAATAAAGTTCTTCTTATTCTTATACCACCCCTCTCGTTTAGAATATAATTTCTTTCAGATTGAGCCCAATTGGATCAGAATTTTCCCCATTGATATGTTTACATGACACCTTTCTATTCCGATCGGGCCTTTATTCCAATTATTTGTGCCTATGTAAACGCAGCTTGTGTAACAAGTTTGTAGTACTTTCACCACTGCAGCCCTGAAATATTGGCCACAGTTTGTGCCTAAACTGTAGCAGAGCCACATGCCATGAACTGGGGTGACGGTAGAAATGCTAAAATGCCCTACAGTCTGGATAAAAACAAGCACAGACAGTATCTGGTAGTGCTGCCTGACTTTGATGATGAAGATGATCTGGTGGTGTTAGCTCTGACAGAGTTAGCCACACTCAGCTAACCAATCTAACACAGTTTACCTGCAGACTTGTGATCCTGTGTTTTGCTTCAATCTGACCCTAGACTGATTCAAATTTCTGTTTCAACAACAAGAACATCATCAGTGTCACAAGTCACATGACACCAGGGGGGCTGTGAGGTGAGCTGCCACCAGTCTGTGTCTTAGTACTGGGCTGGAGTCCTGCAGTCCACTGAGGTCTCGTCCTCTTTATAACAGGCAAAGCTAGTTATTTTAAGTGAGTAAAACACAGCACAGAGCAATTTGGTGTTTCCCTGACATGAGCAGTGATCAGAATAGTCCAGGAACGTAAATTCTCTCGGCCTGCAACACAGCTGTGTTTCTCTTCCTCTTCCTGATCATAGCACAGCCTCAGATTTGTTTTTGGGACTGAACTCCTACCCTAGTCTGTGAGCATTGCTAAGATGTTATGTTGCAAGGTTGATGGTCTCCTTTAGAAGCTTTAGCCACGACCAGCCCAGGCCTGTGTACTCACCACAGCCACCACAGGGAGGGTACTGAGGCAGGGTTTCTTTCAGAGAACAGCCCTCTGGGAAACCAAGTCAACCAGGCCCTTCTCTAAGCCTGCCGGATAAATATCACTCACTCTGCCTGCCTGCCGCTGTTGTAAAAGCCAAACAAACCAGATGCCCGACTCAAAGCTGTGTTCTGAAGTACGGGTGGGGATGTTTTTACAGTTCAAGCAAAATAAAAGTGAAGCTGCTGCAGTTAATAGCCTCTCCTTTGCACGTCAGAGAGGAAGGAAGCCAGAGGAGGAGCTGAGCAGGGAGGAAGGAAGTGTGAGGAGGAGAGATTCAATAAGAGGGAGAAAGGCCCATCCTGAACCACCACAGTATCCACCCAGAACACAGTGTTCTGCTCCTGCTCAGGCCAGAGATCAGAGTGTGCTGGCAGTCTGCATTACCAGCACCAGTCTGATGTTATTACTACAGTAATCCACTTGTCAAAACAATATCAGCCCGGCGTCTGCAGCACTTTTATTCCTTCAGCGCGCTGAAATATTTGCATTGGCTTTCCCGTCTCCTTTTTCAGCTGTGGTGAGGAGAGAGGTCATCAAGTTTATTTAGATCACGAGAGACTGAACATCCACAGTCCATCGTAACCCTAAAACTATTCCAAATATTTTTATTCTAATATAAGGAGAAAAAAACAACAACCTATTAACATGATAAAAGATATAAGACATAAGTTTTCAATCTCACCAGGCTTCCTGTTATTTGCTATAGTCGCTCAAATCTTGGAGCTTGGGACAGCTCCCCCAAACTTGAGTTACTCACAACTAAAATTCATCTATGACCAGAAGCACAAAAGTAGGCTTTTTTAACTAACAACTGATATGACAGGAAAAAAAGAAAGGCAGCAGGAGGAATAAACGATTGTTGACAGCCAAAAAACCCAGCACCATCACAGGCTGAAAGGTTTAGTGACAAGTGCATAAACACATCACTTAAGTTCTCATCCATACAGGTCATGTGGTTGACAAGTCACAGTTTTACTGATGATGAGACAGTAGGTCAGCAGGTGGCTGAAATGCCGATATCACATAATTTTTTTCTCCCTTTTTTGATTCATTTGACATATTGAATAGCACTAACAAAGAAGAAACGAAGTTGCTGATCATAAGTGGATATATTTGATCTATAAGTATAAAAACTGCCACAAAGGAATTTTGGAGGTCTGTGCAGCCATTATGGATCATCAACAGACAAAGAAATTAAATGACAAGTTAAGTATTGCGATAAAAATGTTAAAAAGTCACATATTATTTCATTAAAATCAAATACTCATGCTTATCCCAGCGAGTGACATGTTTAGGATAGGTTAATACTAAATTTAGAAAACATGATGGTGATATCAGCCTTGTGAGGGCTAATGCTAATATGATGCTAAGTGTTAAAAAATGACATGAATCAATCTTTAATCCATATGACAGACTGCAGTTTTAATGTTTCAATGCCAATACTCACGTGCTTCACTTACACACATGGACACAGTTTATTTCCTTTAACTGAAAAATTCATCATTAAGACACTAAAAACACAGTTTTACCCACATGAGCTTATCTTGTTTTATCAAATGTGTATGTTTCATTTCATTCTTTCAGTTAAAACTGTTTTCTTTAACAATCAAAGATTTTCCTTAAAATTGCAAAGGGGGAGTCGTGTAAATCAAGGTCGTCTCATGTCCAGGTTAATCCTGAATTAGACAGGAATTTTACTCTTTGACCCACCTGACAAAAGCTTGAGTACTATTTGAAAACACAATCATTAACTGTACGCTTTATAACCCCCCCAGGAACGGTCTTAATTATACTCCCCCTCCACCCACGCACGCACGCACGCACGCACGCACGCACGCACAAGCAGTCTGTTTTTACTGAGGTCTGACACTAAACCCTATCAGACACAAACAGCAGTCACAGCAGCAGCAGCAGCAGCAGGAGCTTGTCCCCTACATCCATTCAAAAAGACAGACTCTGAAAGAGAGGGTAAACAGCAGTTCTCACACACACGCATACACACACACACACAGGTCAAAGGGCTGTCATTGGGTCACTGTGTCTGTGTGCATGTTTGTGTGTGTGTGTGTGTGTGTGTGTGTGTGTGTGTGTGTGTGTGTGTGTGTGTGTGTGTGTGTGTGTGTGTGTGTGAGTGAGGGAGGCCACCCAGAGGTCAGACAGTTCAGCTGACCTCTGAGTGAAAAGAAGCAGTCAGACTCACAGCAAACAGACAGACAGCAGCAGCCGCTCCATTGAACAGGCTGAGTCTGAGGACATATTCAAACAAGTGTAACACACACTGTTATATCACCCACCGACGAATGATCAATTACATAAATATTAAAGGAACAGTTCAACATATTCTCCTCAAAGCTTTCTTCTCTTTAAGGTGTCTGTCTGTACAGTTCACTGCCAGTCATTCTAGGAACAGATAATTCCCTTTAAAACTGCTGACAGAGAACTATCCACGCTAACTCTACACAGCCACAGGAAATAGACGCCATTTTTCAATGTGGCAAGCGTTGAAATCCAAATTTCAAGCACTTCATCACTGGGGTGGAGGCAGGAACCAAACCAAACCAAACTGAGAGGGACCAGACTTCTAAACCAAACCTGCATGGACAGACACGTCCAGAAAACAAAGAGGTAACGACTGACACCTCTTCTTGAGAAAGGGTTCATGTCAGTGCAAAACCCACGGCACACTCATTATTTCTGGTGACAAGAAACAGTTAATTCAGGGGAAGTTCATTTCTGTGACTAATGAGAGCACACAAGCTTACCCTGTTTGGCCCTGAAATGAAAATCAGGCTAATGGCTATCTATAGAGCCTGCACACACTCAGCTGGGCCTCTAACATTGTTATTGCTCAATAAACTTAACATTTGAGCTCGGATGACCTTGGAAGCTTCCGTGAGAAAACACGGACTGGCTGGTTTAGTTTGCACAAAGGAGCTGTCTTTTGTCCAAAACCACCAGAATCTATTCCATGGTTCAGGTCTGTAAGTGGATGTTTGCTGACAGCAGAGGCTGAGCGTGAAGGGAACAGGCCTGCTAGCTGCTTGCTAATTCAGAGTTGAAGAGCTACTCCCACGTGCAGAGAAAATTCTTTTTCTTTCAGACTGGAGACTCTCAGCTTCTTGTTATGAATCCTATCTTGCAGGCAGGGAGCACAGAGCCCAAGAGCTAAAGCAACTACAGCAGAAGACCTGTCTGTAAAAGCAAACTGCCTGGTGTGGGAGAGCACAGGACAGGAGACAACAGACAGCAAGGACAGCCAAAGCTTCAGCGGAAATGAATCTGGGGTTTGCAGGTTCCCCTAAAAATGTAAACTTTGCAGCAGGAAAGCTGCTTTTTCATTTCACCACACCAGCATAAACTTGACCAAACCGCCGGCTGGCTTATTTCCTCTGCAGTCATTTCCTGTTTCCTACTGCAGTCAAGAGCTTCATCTGCCAGAAATATTACCATCCCCACTGTCGCACCTGGCAATCAAAAGTGCACTTTACTTGAAATGCAGCACTTCCACCATGACTGGAAGAGGAAGCGCTGTAAGTGCTGTGTAATTGTGCTGGTCCCCAAGTCCGCCGCTCTCAGCCTGCAGGTTTACTTGTTATAATGAAGGGGAGAAACAGTGGAAAAGTTGTATTTCAGGTTAATGAACTTGTGCCAACATCAGTCTGATTGATTGCACAAAACATTTAACAAGACTGAGCATGGTCTGGGTCTCCGTCTGTGCTCCCCCTTGTGTGCAATGCTGCATTCACGTGGATCCAGGGAACAAGAAAATCACATTTTAGGAGACAAGAGACAAATACTAGCGGAGGCAACACTACATAGCATCATCTCCTAGGGAAGCCTGCATGATGATAAAGACATGCAACGTTCATTATTGTAACAATGATTTAAGGTGCAATAGAAAGACAAAACTAGACTGCATGTTAGCTGAAGTTTCTTATCTCTATCTTCTGTTCACCACGTTTGTCTCCAACAGGAGCAATACTGGACATGTGCAGGAAATACGATGATACCCAGTGGCCCAATCACAGAGCTCAATATCATTTCACATGCAGTTACATTTGAGGAGGTGTATGTCAGGCTGTGTACTAGGGGTGGGAGAAAATAATCAATACAGCATAGTATTGTGATATTTTGTCCGGTGATATATCGTATCATCCCCTAAGTATTGATTTTGTCCAATTAATTGTCAATATTAACTCAATTCTATGATATTGGAAAAAATAAAATTAATTGTTTGTCCAGTGAGGTTGGCAGAGGTGACATTATAGAACAGGAGAATGTTACCACCTGGGGACAGACATTAGGAATTTAAGCAGGGCACAGATGAGATGGACCTCACATATGAGGTTTGCAAGAAGTGATACATGAAAATAAAATTGCATCAATGAGACAAACATTAGGGAAAGACAAATGCTATATCAGCTAAGCAGATGAAAAAAAAAAGTACAAATTGCAATATATTGTATCGCAATACTCACTGTATCGCAAAATGTTTTAAACCCCACAATATTGAATTGTCGCTCAAGTATCGTGATGATGTTGTATCGTGGGGTCACTAGCGATTCCTACCCCTGCTGTGTACATAGGTCTCAGCACAGGTATGTATGGAGTACGCTACTGTATAAGTTGTGTAAGCTTAAAACAGGCACCAGTCAATCTGCATAATGCAAGTGGCTATCTTAAACTTCCTTTCCACTGCATCTTAAGATGTGAAAGTGTGACTATTATACTCAGACCTGAATCGAGCAGGTTAAATGAGATCTTTTTGAGCTTGTTTGAAAAACATAACATCTGTTTTCGGAAGAGTTGCATCAGAAGTTCAAAAAGTGTGAGGCATAACTTTTCCAGTAGGTGTCAATACCGGGTTCGGCAGATGCACTTTGTGGGTGGTGACATTAACTAAGACATCAGCTGGAGAATGGCACACATATTTTTATCTGCTGAGTGGTTCTACAGAGTCAGGTGAATTATAAATCTGTCAATGGAAGTTTATAGTCAGTGTTGCTTAATGTATTCAAAATTAACAGAGGACAAATAAATCTTCCAAGAATAAAGATACTGGAATATTTATTTTCATAAGATCCACAGGAGCAAGGATGAACCCACCTCATTGCTAACTAGCCCCTCAGTGGCTAGTTTAGGTTTAGCTACTACAACTATGATGAATGAACATTTTTGCTGAAATAACCTTTAAGTCTACTGCTCCTGCTCTCTGCATCTGCACTAAGCAGACTCAGCAGCAGTTTCTTGGTGTTGCATTAATTGAATGACTGAATATTGGCTGCAAGCAGACCAACAGACCAATGATCGGAGCCGTTTGGGCCTTTAACAGATGTATTCAGTATGTTGCACAACTTGTACCCTTATGAAACATTTCTGTCCTAAACATTTGATGCAGAAAACAGTGCACATCTGCAGAGAGTCTGCTGCCACTTTAAACCTGTGCTCAGACGAGAAAGAGGGACAGACTGACCAACATTTTCTTTGCTCCAACTTTCTGGTCCCTCTCCTGCTGCCCAGAGCGCTCCAGCCCAGCTAGGGGCCTGCTGAGTTCACAGCCTGCTGCCCACCACACCGGGCCCACACAAACACACACACACACACAGTCCTCCTTCGACACACACGGACGCACACAGCCCTGTCTGCTGCCACTGCCGTTGCCATGGCAACCCTTGGGCACGGTGCCGTGATCAACAAGGCCCAGAGCTGCTGGGGCGCCATGGCAGCGACCTGCCTGGCAAGCAAACACACACACACACACACACACACACACACACACACACAAACACACATGCACGCTGGAACACACACACACATGCAGTGCCACAGAGAATGATAAAATGAGACAAGGAGGGAGAGGAGTGAATGCACGTGAACACACTCACGCAAAACGACTGGCACTGGACAGAGAGTTCAGTAAGAAAGGGACAGAAAGAGTAAGGGGAAACGGAGATGCACACACACACACACACACACACACACACACACACACACACACACACACAGCTCACTCTGCCTTCTCCCTCCCCTGGGAGACGTGCACTGTAACGTCTAGACGTCTGGTATCAGCCTGGCAGCAACAGTCTCTTTTAACCACAGTGTGCGTGTGTGTTTTTGTGTGTACGTGTGTTTGTGTGTGCATGTGTGTGTATGTTAATGTGACACAGCATGTAGTAGATATCAGCCTAGTTACAGCCTCCACTCCTCTGCTACACTCAGTCTCTCCATGGAAATAAATGAACTAGTTTAGTGCTGCTTAACCCCGAGGAGAGGGTCCTGTTTGTGTGTGTACTTGTGTGTTTAATGTGTGTATGAGTGTCTGTGTTTAGGATAGGTATCTTGGAGTTAGGAAGGAGGTAGAGATAGTAAGCTAAAGGACAGAGGAAAAAGAAGGGAAGAGGAGACATACAAGGGGAGGAAAGTAGAGAAAAGGAGGACGTTAGGAGTATGTCAGCGATGGAGGGAGACGCAGAGCTAGAGGAAGGTGCCAGACATGCTATAGGGACTGAGGGCAACAAGAGAACAAACAATTACAGCTTTGTCTCTTTCCTCCACTCTCCCACTGCTCTCTCTCTCCCTCTCTATCCATCTATCCCTTCTTATTCTCTCTCTCGCTCTCTCTCTCTCTCTCTCTCTCTCTCTCTTTATCACACACACACGCACGCACGCACGCACACAGCACAGGAGGACTCAAACAGGCTGTCTGTGCTCCACCACTGAGACAAAATGAGATTAAAAAGCAGGACTGTTACAACCCTGGCTATTTCTAACTTGTGCATTGGGACAGAAAACATTCTGCTGCACTTTCTGAATATTTCTCATTTGAAAAACAGGAAAAAAAAGCAGCAAAACATGATGGGAAAGTACGAATAATAGGTGACCTCTGAGTACAAATCTGGGTTTAAACAACTTTGGTCATATTTATACGGTTTTGGCAAACATTTTTATTTTAATAACAGTGTTCTTACAAAGTCACGGGTCAGCTCTCTGACATCTGCACCTCAGAGTCTGCTCAGGCCACAAGCACAGAAGGGAAAAATTGTGAGTCAGGCTGTAATAAAGCTTACAGTGAGGCCAAGCAATCGAAAGCAGAGAATCAGCATGCAAAGAGAAAGATAGCTCTGCCAGTAAATGTGTGAACCTGATAATTGGTTTTTCATTTCGATAATTATCTATGTTTTCTCTTTCTGTCTCACTGTATAACAACATTTTTGTACTTTTTTGCCTCCACTGCAGGAAAGAGAAGCAATGCCTCTGCCTCAACGTGTCCACCAACCACAAAAGCAAGATATCTGAAGAAAGAATACCCCTTTGCTGGTAAACAGAACCACTGACTTATCAAAACCTGAGAGAAAAAGACTAAGCGAGCATAGACGCTAGCGGGCTAGCTGATGAATTGTATTGTAATTTTATGATATCGGCAGCATATCAAATCAGACCCAGAATGAATCTCACCTAACATGACAAGCCTTTCAGAACAGGAGCTGAAGCAGGACTTGGGGGGCTCTTATATATATGCTTATCAATGGTTTTACAGCTTAACAGCAAGAAGCTACTAGCTAATATTACTTGCCGCCTCTTATATGGTGTCTCTTTAGGGTCAGAACAAACGCACTTCCCGGTAGATTCTGCAAACATAAAAGTGCCCTCTCCTGGATAAACACAAAAACGTGACTGGGTCGTCTTCAAAATGTTGAGGACTAAGCCTGCAGGTGGACTCAATGTTTGTGCATATAAGAAATCCAACTACAGTATATAGACCGTGTAGACATTGTCAAATCTTTTCAGGACTGAGTCTGACTGGTACTTTAACTCCGGTATCAAGTTTTGTGGCACTGACCTTAGTGCTGGTGTGTAAAAGTTTAGTTAGAAGACAGTTTTATCTTTTTTGTTTGGCGAGTGGGACTGCACTGTGAGCTTTTATCAAACATGTGTGTCCTGATGGAAAAAATTGACCACTAAAATGTGAACTCAGTTTTATTGCTTTTGGACTGGGTGAAGTCTACCTAAGTGGCACATCAGAATTATGAAACAGTATGAATACAACTGAAAACAGGATTGTGCTTCATCACCATTGGAGTGTAATCTCTCGGCAGACAACAGCAACAGCACTGCAGTTGTCTGTTAAGTTAACAGCATTATCAAAAGCCATGATAGCATCATTACACTGTCATCTAAGTGTCATTGTGAACCTTTTATGAAAGACATCTATCAGTCTCTGCTTTCACTGTCTTTTCGCCTGTTTTTATTTGTGTACTGCATTTCGCAGTGATCGGTGAGATTCAGCTACAGATCTGGTGTTAGATATGCATGTTAGAACGACTGTCAAACAGCACGTGGACCTCCAGGATAAGATAACAAAGCTGATTATAAACCCTCCTCAACATTACAGTTGCACTTTGCTTCCTGTTAAACACTATAAGACTGGAAAGCTGTTGCAGTGCACAGGCTTGGTGTCACGGCGGAGCCATACATCAATTGTAGCTGCCTCTATTGTGACGCTCTGTTGTACCATGGAAGGTTTTATTTGCCACTTTTTTGCTGATATGCAAAAGTAACTGATCCGTGACTCCAAACCCAGATGAGATCTGAACCTTGAGTTTAGTGATTCGTTGCAGCCGCAGGGCTCAGTGACAGTCACGCTTGCCGCTGACATATTTCATCGAATCAGACGAGTCATCACACTCTTGTTGTGTCTATCACATGCATTTCACATATCCCCTGACTCGACAGTAGATGCATTTGAGCCACATCTGCTTTTTTTTAACAATTTTCTCCACACAAAGATGAGTTTAATGATTGCTGAGGTGGGCTACCACGATGAGATCAGATGCTGAGCAGGCAATAAATCCCCTCTTAGACTCCTGAAAAGGACTTCTGTAGCTATATCATCTCCATCTGCATGAATATAACATGACCAAAGACAGGAAAAACGCCGGGCTCTGTGATAACATTTCATGAATATTACAATAAAATCTAATATTATCAATATTCTAATGCTGTAATATTCATGAACAGCAGTTAAGCAGAGAGGGGAGCGGTGTTAAACTATTCATTCAGTTAGGGAGGTGGCTGATGCACACTTGCTCAACATGTCACTACACACACACACACACACTCCCCCACAGCCGCTCAGGTGTGTGTACATTATCGGACCCAGACAAGCAGTGTCTAGACCCCCCTCCCCCCTTCCCATGAAGCCAGACTGAGGGGTCAGACTAATGTCAGGGTTAAAGTGTCTGCATGTCTGCGCGTGTCAGCGCTGGCTGGCCAGTGTGTGAATGGGTGTGGGGGAAACATTAACAGGGTTAGACCACGGTCGTCTGAGTGTGTGTCTGTGCATGTGAATGTTTGTGTGTCACATTACAGAGAAATAACACCACTGTGATGAGCTCCATACATTTAATAAATGTATGCATCATGATTATGGTGCTAATGAAAAAAGTGAGAATGCTTCAGTTCAGACTCTGTGGGGACAGCTATAAAGGAGAGGAGTCCAGATTTATGCGTTTGATTCAGCATGTAGTGTCACTGAACCCCTCCACTTCTTAGTCTGCAGCAGCTCATCTGCAGCTAACCCAAAAACTACATTTCCAAGTCTTTATCTCAACTTTCAGAAAAGAGCTGATGGGGGCATTTTTTTATGGATCAGGACTCACCACTTTCAGCACAGTTTGCAGCAGAGCCCAAACTTACAGGTTAAAAAAACACAACTATAGAACAAATACAGGTCAGTCTATTACATAAGCATTTTAGTAACTGGACAGCTAAAATATCCAACACTATGGATGTGATGAAACATCTAAAAAGTGAACGCAAAATCATCAGGAGAGACGGCAGCTGCGCCAAAGCAACAAACTCCACCCTCAAGGAGACCCTCTGAGGTTAAGGATGCAGGTTCTGAGTCTCCGCTGTGTCCTGCTGTTTTGACTACATTTCAGACATGACTGAGAAATGCATCAGAGTTTGCAACAGCTGGAGTGAATGTGACCTATATTAGTTTTACAGCAGACAGTCAGAGCTCGGGTTGTCCCATGTCATTGCTGAGCCTCTCTGCACACTAATTGATTCCTCCACTTCAAAGTGATGCAGTAATACACACAAGAATGTCACTGCTGCTCAGCCGGACAAATAAAACTGTTTATTTGCTAGTTTTACAACAATGCACTCTAGACTGAGTTCAATGGAAATAGATGGAAACATGTGGACAGCATACTTGAGTTATAATTTTTTTTAAATTAGGGCTGTAAAGTCCTAGTGGACTGGTCAACTTATTGGTCGATGACCAAAACTCTGAGTGGTTGACTCAATTTTTTTCTTCATCAATTTACAGTCTATGGTTAATTTCATCAGGAGGAATGTACCAAGTGCTAATGGGGGGGTTTTCAGAGCACCCCAAATTCAAAGGTGACAGCCTGTCTCAGAACATCTCCCTTGTTTTTACCATTTTGAACGTTCGCGTCAATCAACGTCCGGTGGTTTGCTTTCTCGTGCTTATATCAGTATGTTTTCATACTGGATGGGGATCAGGGGCCAAGATGCTGATCAGAACATCCCTGATTAGCTTTCATTGTGTCTGTCTGGACTGTTTGTCCTCATACTGGGTAATTAAAAAACTACATCCCATGCGTGTCTTACCTTTAACCTGAAAAGGACTGAACCACCTGTAGCTCTGGCTAACAGACAGCAGACAAGCTGCAGCTGCACCTTCTCACTGATTAACTTTTGGACTCCTCTAATCCATGAACATTTGGTGGACCGTTTCAGCGCAGGTTTTGTGCGACTGTTTGTGTCTGGCAGATTTTTAAAGAGGCCGTTGTACTTGAAGAAAATGAAGAATCCTTTAGCACTTTAGCAGAGGGACCTGCCGAAAGAGAAAAAGGAGTAGTAGCTGTCCACTTAAGAGCTTTGCTTGTCTCGTTGTTGATGATGAGGATAATTACAGCAACTATCCTAATGTACAATAGAAAGTCTGTTCTTCTGTTTCTGAGTGTGCTTCTCACAAGTGCCTGAAAAATAGAAGTGAAGGCTGCCAGTCTGAATCAACAGCAACAGGAGCTCCAGCAGAATTACATTAAGGAAAAGGATTAAGGCAATAAATGATATAAAACGCTGTGATGACAGACTGCAGGGAGGGAGGGTGTGGGGTCGACGGGGGGGCACCAGACAGTGTTGTATCTGACAGACCGTAAAAACCTGAAGCAGATTAGGAGGTTATGAGGGGTGTGTGCTGATGTGATTCAACCTGGAAGCTCTGCTTTGACAGTGACTGACAACGACGAGCTTTGTTAGCCTCATCGCAAACAGACACAGAGTCATCGTCGCTTTCATCACAAATGGTCTGAGGAGAAAGACACGCAGCGGTGGGCTGTTGTGACAGCGTTAAAAGGAGGCAGCAGGACACACACAGGCAGACACACAACCCTGAGGGCAGACTGACAAACAAAGACCAACAGGCGGACACGTGTGTGTGGCAGATATTAACACAATATTCTCCATTTATACCAACTGTTGCAGTGGGATGTATGTCCAGTGAAATATAATTAACAAAATGAAGATGACAATCTAGCCTTTAATGTTGTCTAATAAAACGTATAAAAACTATGACTGTATGTTTTTTCACTCTGTGTTCAGAGCTGAATGTAACTGCAAATTGGATCAGGTTAGTCTGAAGTGTTGAGAGTTCATGTCACAAAGGTACAAGGAGAATTTCATGTAGGACTGGGCAATTACATGATCGTGATTAAAGATGGTGATAAATTTCAGTTCGATCACGGTGATCAGCTGTGAGCATATTGACTCAATCAAACATAGCGGAAATGTGCGTGACAACAGCCAATCAGAATCGAGCTTTTCCTGCTCACTTCTGTAAGTTGCTGGAGAAGTAAACAGAATGAGCGAACGTGGAGCTAAATGCAGAGCTGAGGGCAGCAAAATAGATGTGAGCCATGACTTTGAGTCATCCTCCGAAGTTGTTATTGTTGACAAGAAAAATTATTCAACATCGGTTGTGTGGTGGTTCAGGTATCTCCAAAGTGATGTCGAGCAATTACGCCAATGTGCAAGGTATGTCGGTTGTTGGTGCCCCCACAAACCGGCAACACAACAGATCTGTTTAATCATTTGAAGAAGTACTTCCCAAGTGAATATGCTGCGAGCATGAAAATGCAAGCAGAGTCTGTACAGCCTGCCACTGCTGACGGAACAAGTAGCATTAGCAGTTTAGCCACAACTAGCGGTGCAGCCACTCGACCAAAGCAGCGATCAATCGTATCATCTACATTTATATCATCTAATCATCGCCTAGTCTTCTATTTGGTTCAAGTTCACCACAACTCCTACCCTGCTGCATCCAAGACAGATGTTTAGACAGAAGAAAAACTTTTACCATCCCATATAGATTCATCTTATCGGCACATCTGTACGAAAAAGTGCAAAAAGGGTCATCAAAAACCTGAATCTTCAATTTGAATTTACCACTTGTAAAAAATGGTATCAGTTTTGACACTAATATTGTTGATTTTGTTAATTTTCTGACCTTCTTTCACTGCCGGCCCGGACACAGTCACTGACCACAGGCTGACATTTATCATCCTGCTGATAGTTATGCAAGGTAAAGCAACAACAAATGAGGAAGTTTGTCTATCTATATTCTCTTATTCTCTGGCTGATTCTATCACTTGCCAGGCTCCAGTGTGTCATTATTAGATGGTAAAAGTAACAGACTTCAGTATTTGCCAAACGATAAATGAGGAGAGTTGACAGTGCAGAGGCTGTTAGAGGAGAGAGCAGCAGACAGAAAAAACACAATGTCATCCGCAAACAAACACAATCCAACACCTTCATCCATGTTTGTGAATAGATGTGGATGTGGTTTTGACATCTTAAAAGCATGATGGCTATGAAACTATCATGTGATAACTCCCTGTGTCTCAGTTTCGCTGCTCTGTTTACTTCTTCATCTCTGTGTTGCTAGATCACAGCTGCTTGTGATCTCTGTCATTTCCTCATGGTTAAAAACTCAAGTGCAGATCTGTTAACTCTCCCTAACATTGGTAATCTTCAATGCTGTAAAATACAAAATCAATGGCTTTGTGGTATTGCAATTTCTAATTATACCTGTGCTAAAAACAGCGAGGCTGAGAGGCTCACTTTAGGGGGATGTTTCCAGCCTGCCCTGCCCTCTCTCCTGCTCTGCTCAACTGTTTACATCTCAAAAAACAGCTCTGAAGTTCTGACAATTTAGATCATGCATCTTTTAGACAGAAGCCCTTAAGTCTTTGTTGCTGGATTGAGAGGTTTCAGGGGAGACTAATGAAATAGCACCAATCAAAGATTTGATGAAGTCAGCACTTGATAACCTACTAGGTGCTCCTTAATAACTCTGCAGGTTTTAAGACTAAACAGCCAGAAAACAAAACCCACAGAAGTATAAAAAGGCCGTCATTAATGGAGTCTGCAAATGCACACACAACATCTGACTCTGCTGACTCCAATCAGCCAGAGACAACTCAGCCAGCCATCCAGACACATTGATCTTTGTCAGCTTAGCAGGGGGGTTATGAAAATTATTCTGCCGTGTTCATTTTTCTGCAGGTCAACTTCACAGGTCGGCTACTGCTAAGGGCGAAAAGGTACAATCATGCTGAGGTCTGGCAGAAGAGAACAAGAAGGAAAAATGGAGAAGAAAGAAATAAGTAGACATAGCTGCCAGAGCGACACAGAGGGACCAAGAGAAAGCAGGAGAGAGGGGGGATAATAAAACCCAGGTTTGGACATGGAGGGGATAGAGGAACAAAGATAAGAGCAGGGAGAAGGACAGACGAGGGGAAGACAGTCAGCAGAAGAAGAGATAAAGGTGTAGGGAGAATGTGGTTAAGGCAGACAGATGTTAAAGGCAGACAAACAACAAAGCGTGTCTCATCTCTGAGACTGAACAACAAAACAGCAGAGCGGTGGAAAAGAGAACAAAACAGAGCAGATGAGAGAGGGGAGGAGGAGGAAAAGAAACAAGGGGGTCTGACTGTCTGTCTGTCTGTCTGTCTGTCTGTCTGCCTGCCTCTCTGCATGCTTCCTGGCACATTTTCATTTGATAAACCAGCCCCCTCATCCTATCCTAACCCCCTGTCTCACCCCCACAGGAGAGGGGATTTCAACCACCAAACTCTAAAGTAGGTTCTCAACATCAGTAGGTGTAGCAGACACCCCTCAGACGTGGGATGCAGGCTGCATATGTGCTGCAAACTCTCGGTGGCAGTTGTGATCAACTAAACAGGGACAGCAGGGGGTTCTGTGGGTGGAAGACAGGAAGCTCTGGGAGACATGTGACACATCCAAAGTGGAGCTGCTGGGTCTGCTGAGGTTACACAGACACACTGAGCTCTGACTGGTTATGGTGTTTTCACCCATCTTCAGTATATTGAGTGCATTCAGAGCTGTATGTTAATAGAGAGTTCTGCCTGGACATGGATCAGACAACAAAACCTGGAAACCAATAACCTTTGAACCTATCTAGTCTGGACATGTGAGGAGGTCCAAAGTGTGGCTCCATTTAGCCAAAGCCAGAGACAAATGCAATTTATGCTAACAAGTAAGTTTTAGCATGAGGGAACACGGTCTCCATGACCAAACACATGAACACTGAGCATCAAGTTGAAATGCAGAACCTTTGACTGATCAAACTTAAAACAACACTGCATCACCTCCTGCTACTGCTGCTGCAGGGCTGCTATATTCCTCTCTACCCAAAGCAGCTGGGGTAAACACAGCCAGACATGAGAGCAAGTCCATGCAGTTTAACATTAATGCTAAATTACAGAAGTAACAACAACAACAACAAAAAATGATTTCAGCAAAGGGTGAACTACTTCTAAATCAGGGGGATGAACAGAAAACAATAGCAAGTGGTCAAATAATCTGGTGGAAAATAACCCAGTGTGCACACAAACGAGAAATTAAGCATGCAAGTCACTTGGGGATTATGAGACCTGTTAGCTTTGGTCTTGTAGGCAGGGATATAAGACTCTCCTGGGCCACAAACGAAAGCACGAGTACCAATAAGATCTGGGTCATAGAACAACTTGCCAGAAAAGCAGGTCCTAACAGCATACTGCCCCTGCTGGTGTTTTGGTGTGGATGGTGACCATGTTAGTTGAGGACTTCCAGTTGAAAGCATTCAAGTTTTTATTAAATCAATATCTGTCAAGACTTATAGTAAGACATCACAGTGAAATGATGAACTGGGATGTATTTGCATGGAATCTTTCTGTGTTTCAACACCTCTTGTAACCATGACAACCATTGACACTCATAGCTAAAAGACACCAGCTAACAGGGTCACCCTTTAAACGGGAACATCTGGTGTGATGCAACGGTTGTAATCTTGACTGAGTGGTATCAAACTTGAGTCCACAGTTGGAATATCTCTTCTGAAAAACTGACCACTCAACCCCCAGACCCTTAGAAACTCAGTGTTTAAGTCGCTAATTCAAACAGAATACAAGCACATACTTTGAAACAGGGTCCAGGCCCTAGAGTTCAAACACAGGTAATGACTGTAGGACTTGGTAATAGTCCTTATTGAGGACTTTTTTCTCATTTCTCAGTCTAATCCCACCCTGGAATTGTATATTAGCAAGATCTAATGATTCCAGGTAACCTGTGACTGAAGCTTCCAGACTAAAGAATTACAAAGGATGTCCCTGTACCCAACTTCCCAGTTCCTCCAATAGGACTAGTTTTCCCAAGTATAATCTGCATTATGAAGGAATGAGCAAAGAGAGCGCTCCATGACAAACAGCCTCCTTCTCCTCCTCCTCCTCCTCCTCGGTGTGTAATTACACCCCGTCTGTTTGTAATAATTCGGTTTTATCTGCTCTGCTTTTTTTTTTTTAAATCTCTGACCACAAATCATAACTGGTTTCCATCTTGGAAAAAGATGGCTCCTCCACAGCAGCATATGCTTGTGTGGCATTTTTTTTCTCTGCTATGACTCACTGTCTCTCCACAGAGATGGACTGTCCCTCTATTTTAGTCGGTTTCATTTGTGTCTCTCTCTCCCACTCTTTTTGTCACACTCCTCTCAATCTCTTCCACCCTCTCTACTTATTCACTGGTAATTTTTAATCCTTCCATCCTTTTTCTCTCAGAATTTATTGCTCTCCTCTTATTTCAGCCTCCTCTCTATCCCTCCTCTTCTCTTTCACTTCACTGTATGCACTTTTGTCATCATTTCCTCTCTTATCCCACCTCCCTTCTGTCTCCCACCTTCCCTCCCACTTTTTCCTTCTCTCCCACTCCCTCCGACGCTCAGATGAAGGGGTGTAAACATGTCTTCCACATGCGGTCTCATTGTGCCAAGCCAACAGAGCAAAACAACCACGCTTAAGTTGCTCAATAGGCTTCACCAGATGACTAGCGCCTCCTTCCTCCTCCCCTTCCTCGCTCTTTTCCCCCTTTGGGCTGAGATGCTTAACAACCATGTAGCAATGCCTTGCAGGCAGGATTAAACAGAAGCAAGAGACAGAAACAGAAAAGAGGAGGAAAGAGAAAGAGAGACCAGAAAGAGCGACCAGAAAGAAAGATAAAAACAGTTAAAGTGAGACAGGAAATCAGAATAGTGAGCGACAGAGAGGAGAGTCATGTCACTGTAAAAGGGGGTAAACTAGTTTTCTCCAAATGAGGAGAAAATCCAAGATAAAGGGCAGTATGTGCCAGGGAAAGAAAAAAAAGTCCCATCAAAAACTTTTTTTCTGCTGAATTCTTGGCCATGACCGCAGGCTGAACTTCGGTGCGGTGCTGAGCAACAGCTGCCGACACAGAGGAGGCTGAAAAAAAGAAAAAGAAGCTGCAGAAGAAGAAGAAGAAGAAGCAGGCAGGCGAGGTGCAGGGGGAGCAGGGATTCTCTGTTAAAGTGGTGCTGGTGTTTAGGAGATGGCCAGGATGTTTTAGGCTTGCTGAGGGAGGGACAGAGGTATAAATAGACCCCGGGCGGCGGGGGTAGACGGAGGACTGAAGGGGTTCAAACAGAGGGAAGGATAGTTAAATGTGGAGAGCAGCTTGTGTCTCACCAAAAAGAAGTAAAACTCCAGTCCTTTGGGCTACAGACCAACCCAGACGCTGCTGTAAAACAGTAACAGTCTGCTGCGCTCAGCAGGCATTCAACCAGGGAGGTCAAGGCTCTAAAGCTAGTTAGCTTGCCGTAAACTACAGTTACTGCCCAGTGGATGAAATGCTAAGATATTAGTACTGACTCTCTGAAAATCTGGCAGCAGCTTTGAGCCCCATGTAAACTCGATTTGACTTTAATTCACAGTGACAGAGATCTTTAAGTAAGGGTTTAGTTCAGGGACCTGCTGGTTCCTGATTCCATTTTGGATCCAGTTCCTGGTTGGGCTAAATACACGGATTACTTATATAAACAAAGGACAAAGTCGAAATCAACAAGTGAGCAGCTAATCATGTTGAGTGAAGACTGACCTTTAGTTCATAGGTTTAAATGACTAAAAGATCCGTTTAGAGAAGCTTTACCATAAACTCCATCCAAGCTCATATCAAACTTTTGACTGCCGTCTCACGCTACAGTCTCAGAACTCAAACATCAGGGTGTGTGGTTCAACGGACCAACAGAGTGCTGACTTGTCTATATTCATGAACCACATTATCCCACATGTAAATCTACTGTCTATGTTCCTGTGTCCTGCTGTGCCACACGAATGAAGTAAAAGCCTGTCTGCTGAGTTTTCTAAACTTAGGGGTCTAAACTTTCAGGGCGTTGTTCTGGTGCATGCACACATCATATAGTCATTCCTTGATCTCTCTGTCACTTGTAAAAATACCCTTCATGTTTTCCCTCATCTTCCCACATCTTGGTCGCAGCTACATGGCTCACCTTTAATTTAAAGAACTTTCTCAGCTTGATAGATTTTTCAAAGAGGTTTCACGATCATCAGTGTGAGTGTTTCATTTATTAATGCAGGTGCAGCCATCAGGGGCAGTTTTGGGTTACGTGGACAGTCCAGCACCCCAAACCCCGAAACCGCTGAGAAACATTTGACTTTGCAAATGAGCCACAGCTGCCCTCTGGAACAACCCAAGCAGCAGCTAGTTCCACAATAATTAGGGAAAAGTTACCTGTTGATTATCTCCACCATTAACACTAGATCATTTTGTTCCTGTTCAAATGTATTCAGACACAGAACTGATGCCCAACATCCAAGTGTATAACGTCACAGACATAAAACCTTCAAAAGGACTGCTGCTGCCCCCTTTCACTGAGCAACAGTGCTCACGGATCAATAACTTGAGCTTGAGTTCAGTATGATTTTTAGTTGCTGTGTGAAACTGGACTGAACTCTTGTTTTCCTCTCTGTGACCTGAGTTTTCAATCTGATGGTGTTCCTCCATTTTGGTGGTGTAGATGTATAGTATATGTGGTTCTGCTGATGAGAGAATAGATTGATCCAGCCGAAGTGAAAGCACCCACTTAGGATATTATCAGACCATTAAACAGGCCATTATCTGACATTATCACCATCATTACAAAACTTCAGGCAGAGCCAACTGCACCTTGCAGAAGACCAGAAAGTGAATAATCACCCACTATAAGCAACACATTTACAGTGAGGAGCTCAAGTGATGAAACCGTCACAGTTAACCTTTTGAATCGTACCAACCTCTGTTTTTCCTGGTTCAATGTCCCTGTGTTTGACTGACCCTCCTATCCACCCTTACAGCCTCCTGAAGCAGACTGTCTCTGAATATATGAAATTAGGGCTGAAACAATTCTGCTAGTACCTCTATTACAAAAAAATGATCAAGGAATTTTCTCTGCCTTTAGTACTGGTTTATGAACGCAAATCGTCACGGTTTTACACTAATTATTTTTAAAGTGACACAATGTGCTTACATCACCGCGGTAGAAGGGAGGTAAAAGCGTGGTTTTGGTTTCACGGAGCAGAAAATTAATGATGAGAGGAGCTTTTCTTCAGTAGCTAACATGAGCCTAACATTGCCGGTGTAGTAGAAGTAACAGGTAACATAGGAGCTATTCATCCTGGACACTAATGACTTTTGGGACACGATAAAAGTTAATATCATAATTAGCTTTCTTACGAGCATTGCAATCCTCTAACGCACACGCTTGTTCCACAAATGTTCTGGGATAATTGCACTTTAACTTAAAATATATTATGTTTTACCCGATTAATCGATGGAATATTGGGTAGAATTCTAGATTACTAACATATTCGATAGCTGCAGCCCTATATAACATGTTACCTGACCTCCTCCTGCACTTTGTACCTGCTGTAGTTAGGAGTCACTTTACTGCAGTACTAAAAAAAAAACCTTCATAGATGAAAATTAAAAAGAGAAACAGAACAAACAAAAGGCACAGAGCTGTAAAAGTGACAATGTTCTTGCAAACCCATGCTGATGGTTGTTTGTCTAAAGGGGGCATGTCGGCACCTACTGTAGCCAAGATGGACATGCTGCTGTCCAAAATTTGATTCTTGTCCAGTGCTTGTAAACTGGGACGAGGAAAGTAGTCCAGCGAAATCCCTCCAATCGAGCTTTAACTGCAGCCTGACTGAACTCTGCATGTAAACATCATAACAGAGTGACTTCATTTCCTGAGACTCCAGGTTGCTGTTTGGTTTCAACTAGCTGCTGGTGGCACAGTCCTTCGGATACACCCCTGACCATAAGCCCGTCATATTCCTGTTGAGGTGTTTTAGGGAATAAGATCAATCAATCAGTGTTGCTGAAGGACCTACTGTCTCATATCTTTCAAGATAAAACTAAATGAGGTTTGTCCTGTGAGTTACATGATCTTCAAGGAAATTTACTTTTTGGAGTGAAGAACTGCAACAGCACATTGCCTTCCTTCTCCTCTGCTTTTTTCCTTCTCTGATTCTTTTCTTCTTCCCTTTTGTCTTATCCTTTATGATGCTCTGTCGGACTCCTTTTTCCCACCCACACCACCCTCTTCCTTCCATCTCTACTCTCTCTGTCTCTTTGTACAGGCACCACTTGGGGAGTTCAGCTCACGGCGAATATTGCGGAATAGAAAGAAGAAGCTCCTGACTCGTTGAGGTAAAAGTCTTTTTTTTGTGACACAAAGACCGAGTGTAACCAGAGATATCAACAACTTAGCAACACCCGCCCACAGAAACACTTTTGTACATTTTTGCTAACCTTCCCAGTACTTCTTGTGCTGATGATAGTTGGTGCTTTCTTTTTTGAAGGTGCAGAAGTCAGATCAAGATCAGGGTGAGTTCCCACTCCAACCGATTCATCGACTGTCTTGTTGAGTGAGGTGTTTTTACTATCTGCTGTTTACACAGCACAAAAAAATCAGGATTTTTAAAGCAGACTCATAGGATAATGTAAGAAGGCCGATTCACTGCTGTTCAACACGGCACACTGCAGTAGGATTATGTGCGTGTGTGTATGTGTGTGTGTTTGAGCTTGCCTCCATTTAAAAAAGAAGAGCAGAGAGGGCACAACTGTCTGTGTGTACGGCTAAAACACACTGTGTTTGAGCTCCGAGACATCCAGCGAGACCAGCAGACACTGAGTGCTGCAACAGTCTCATCCGAACAGAGGGAAGGCAATTTGGCTTTTGAAATGGGAGTTCCACCCGCCTACTCACACACATACACAGATACAATTCATCATGGAAAGCAGGTTTCTTACGAGGAGCCATAAACTCTTCCCATTAAGATTCCTGTCTCATGAAAACATAATTGCTGTAAATGAGTGGTGCAGGGTGCTGCATAACTGGTGGGGGACTAAGTGTTTATGGAAAGAACCATTATTACAATCCCGAAGGCACAGAATTTTTGACAATTGAAGAAATTAGAGGTTGTAATTTTTCAGGATTTATAGATACATCTCTGCACTCCAGGCATCCTTCACAGAAAGGTTCAGATGTACAAACTCAATGTGGGGTTCTTGGTATTAAGTCTAACCTGATGGAGACGGGTTGTAGGTGATCCGCTGGATTAATCTGGCAGACAGATGGGGCAGACTGTGGGTAAGCAGGGGTTAGAAGGGGTCGTGTGTTGCGATAGTGCTGGGACAGCGCTGGGCTGGGCCAAGCCGGATGCTGTGACTATGACCTATATTAATAATTCACACATAGAAGCTCCATGCTGCACAGAGCTGGAGACCTAATCAACATTAGCAACACTAGCTGGGAGCCACGTTAGCCTCCAGCAGGATGCCCAGCGTAAAGATCAGAGACAGACCATTTTAACTTCACATGAATTTGAAACAAATCTGAAGTACCTCTCTTTCAAAAAGTGGAACAGATTAAACAGAAATGACTGTCATGGTGTCCCAACATACTTATATCATCTTTGAGGGCACTAGCTTTAAAAATAACACTAAACTTTAAATGCCGTAGTTTGTCATTTACAGGCATAGCCAAGTTGAAGTTAAAGCTCCATTAAGTAACTTCCCTGGAAGACTGTCGTTGGTCTAGCAATGACTGAGCAGGCTTCACTGGTAGTTTGCTTCTGCAATGCTAGGTGGTGATAGGCCAACGTTCAGTTTTTTACTGAACCTCTAAATCTGAGCAAAACCATCCAATAATACAAGTTAGCAGGTGCATCTGTCTTTCTGTCCGTGACACAGTGAACAACTTGACTGCTTTCTATCGTCTGCAAGAACTGTATCCCTGATTTTCTTTTGAACTAATGAGAAGTATGCTCTATCTCGCTCTGTCTCTGTCTCTCTCGGACTGATTTATCTACTCAAGAGTTTGTTTACTCCCCAGCTTCCCTCTTCCCTCATCACATTTATGCTGTTTGACTCTCAGGTCAAAGCCCATGTTTGGAGAATCCTCAGACTGCTTGGGCCACTTTGGGTCCAACTGCAGTGCATGCATGAGAAGACTGATCTCTGTCCACATCAAATGACGTGTCACTCCAAATTCTAGTGATTTTTTTTTTTTTTTTCCTCAGACCAGAGTGTACATCCACATCCCCTCAACATTAGTGGCCTTCTTTACTTGACTTCAGTGATCTAGTATGCAGCAGCTTCCATGGCCTTTTTAACTGGTGCTGTTGTAGCACATCTCTTCAGATGTAGGTGAAATCTGCACTTGTAATAATAAAAATTGAGGAGTTCATTTGTGCCCTAAGAGGTTTTCTGAGATGTCTGGAAGTCGGTTCAGTGCCTGACCTTGACCAACCCCCTGTCTGCTGTAAAGTTTTCCTCAAGTCTGTGGCGACTGAAGCTGCACAAAGTTACTCAAGCATCGAAAACAAAAGCCTGCAGCTGAGTGGGAGAACAGTGTTGGATTGCATTCCCTATAGTATCCCGCATAAGAACAAAGGACTTCAGTGAAAAGACTTTTTGAGATCCGGGAGCTTATCACGTCGCTAAAGATATGATGCCACTAGCTGGGTCTGCAGGAATATGTTTTACTCTGCTTCACTCTGTCCTGTGGGTGCACATGCTGGCAGCAGTTGTAGGAGAGAAGATCTTGTTTTCATTTCACTGATATTAGGCTATCTGATCACCCTGATATGCCTACAACATGCATTTTAAATACCTGACCAATTCCACCGATCAAATCATCGAGTGTGGCGCATGAGTTTAGCCTTATTTCTGCGCACAAACAACAACTTCAATACAATCAGACATTTAATCATATGCAAGACAAGGACACGCCAAGCTACTTTGCATAACAAGCATCATATACATCTGTGATCAGGAATAAATGCAGGAGAGAAGGACAGAGGAAAGGAGGGGAGGAAAGGAAAGGAGCTGTGTTATGGTTGGGGGTTGGCAGTCAAAGAGGCAGGCCAGACCAGACAGCCACTATCTTCCTCTGACCCCCTGTCTGAGTCTGTGTGTGTTTGTGTGTGTGTGTGTGTGTATGTGTGTGTGTGTGTGTGTGTGTGTGTGTGTGTGTCCCCTCTGCCCAGCCAGACAATAGAGCAGGCCCTATGCCTGATTGGGGTCAGCTGGTGGCTGCCGGGGGGGAAGAGGCAGAGGAGGGGGAGAAGGAGGTGGAGGCAGAGAAGTGGGGGAGGTAGGTATCAGACACAACTGTCTGACTGGTGTGTCTGGATTGGAGGGAGAGGGACCAAATATCAGACAGCTGTCTAAATCTCTGCAGAGGAGCAGGGAGCTGGGAGGGAGGAGGAGAGGAGAGGAGGGGAGGATGGGTAGAAGGATCTTGGTGACCAGAGGCCTCTCTCTGACTCCTACACACATCCTTTACCACTTGACTTGAGGCTGGGAGGTTAAACCAGGTTAAAGTGGAAAGGAGAGAAGAAAAACAAACTCATACAATACCCCACAGACACCACAACAGAATGTGGGTAATAATCTGTGAACACAGTGCTGTCTTTCCCATGGATATATATTAACTGTCATCATGGATAGTTAATTCTCACACTGGTTTGTGTTCATGGAAAGCCACAGTCAACACTGCTGCTGGTGTGTGTGTGTGTGTGTGTGTGTGTGTGTGTGTGTGTGTGTGTGTGTGTGTGTGTGTGTGTGAGAGAGAGAGAGAGAGAGAGAGAGAGAGAGAGAGAGAGAGAGAGAGAGAGAGAGAGACTACAAAGTCAATCCTTGAGTGGTTGTGTTGTTTTCACTGAGAACACAAAGACCACTTCTCCTCTCTTTCATATCTGCCCCTCTATCTTCTCCTCCCTCTCTCTGCCTCAGGTGTAATCCAGAGTAATTTCCTGTGATAAGGTCAGATCCAGGGCAAGGTCTTGTTAGGGGGCAGCTAGCAGCTCAGCTGGCACAGGATGTGGATTTAACCCCCTTTGGCGGTATAGTAGAGGGGTGACAAGAAGGTACAGAGAAGACAGTGACACTGAGGTGGTACAAACTGATGTAGTGATTGAATTAGTCCTGCTGTGCAAAAATATGAAAATATTTAGTATCAAGTTAGTTCAGCCCACAGTACATCTGCTGATCCTGATGCCAGCCCACATCAGCTAACAACCCAGCCAATCACCTTCTCTCATCTTTTCTTCAAGCTTCCTCCACCCAAGCTCCTCCTTTACAGGACATGTCTGATTTCACTGCTGTACTGTTAGGGTTGCAAAGGGGCGGTAAATTTCTGGTAATTTTCCAGAAACTTTCCACAGGAAGTTAAGCTGGGGAATTTTGGAAATATTCCAAATTGGAAACTTTCCATGAGAATTATGGGATTTTATGGGAATTAACTGGAAATTTGGGTAATTTAAACAAACTGTATCATATCCAAACATAAATGTAAATATTTTTGACTACTGGAGTGGTACTCAAAATATTAGACAATTGATGTATAATTATTGTATGGTTACAAAAAAACATCTTGCAGGAGTCAGAAGAAACAGTATCACATTTGAGGTAGCTGTGGTCAATGGTCAATGAAATGAAAAAAGTAGCTTACATTTAGCACCTATTTTATTTAATTTTTGCAAGTTAAATATTAATACTACTACAGATCAAATATATTTACCCAAAAATATTATAAGAACATACTTGACTTGACATAGTCTGTGGGCTCAAATGTCTTGTGCTTTGGGCTCAAAAGTGTGGCCTCCTGGGTTTAAGAAATCATTTGTGCATGTGATGGAGGAATGCACAGTGCATGTAGGGGGTGTGGCCTCAACAGACCTGCAGTAAGCAGTGTGCTGTGTGCATGTGATTGAGAAGTGTACTTGTATTAAACCTGGTTGTTTTAGTCAAGATTATGCTACAGAATTGAACTAAATTTAAGTTCCCTGTTGAGGGCCAGCCTTCAATTTTGTAAATTTCTGTTTCATTCCCTATAATTCCTGTTAATTCCCATGGAAAGTTTCCAACTTTGAAAATTCCTGGAATGTTGCAACCCTATGTCCTGTCTGTGGTCACTGATGCTGTTCTGTACCCCAGCCCAGGGGTTCTTGCTGCTGCTCTCCCTGCCTCATACCTTGGCATTTCAAGTACTCGTGTGGAAGGGCAGGGAGCCCTCAGAATAGAACTAAACTAAGACATGTTGCTACGATTGCAGCAACTCAGTTACTCCCCTTTGACAAAAGTGGTCCCGACTGTAAGGTTAAGATGCACTTTTGCAGTAAAGTGTGACCTAATATTTACCAAGTGCTATTGTGAAAAGTCTGCAGATCCACAGTACATCCACGAGAAGCCACTTTTAATTTGAACAACATTGATGAATTAACTGCCTCAGAGATAGTTTGTTTTCTTTGGGTAAGATCCTGTTTATGAGCAGACACAGATGTTAACCACACTGCTCCAAAAGCCACAAGGCTTCATGAAAAAGAACAGTCATTTTGCCACGCAAAACACAGAGGCTGCAGAGCTCCAGCTGCATGAAGCCTTGAGAGAACAGCTACTCCTGGGTGTCTGAAGGTAAAACCACAGCCGTTCTCTGTCAGAGTCTGGTGGCTTTGAAGAGAGCAATGGGAAAGCTATCTCTCTCTAAAAAAGCGGTCTCTTTCTGTACAGAAGTTTCCTTTGAGTTCACTTGAAACCACTGACCATGCTGACCCCCTAAAGTGCACTGTGCATATGAATATAACCTGTCACTCAGCCACTGAGCTTCCAAAGGAGACAAATGTTTTTAAATGTTGAAAACCTCAGACACACTCCATGATTTCTACACGTCTCAGCTCAAATTCTGATCACACTGAGGTGTTTTTTCTCTTCTTGCAGTGAGAGGCGGTGTGGTGATGCCAGGCAACACACTGCATGTCAATCACTACACAGAACGCTGTTATATTGAGGAATTAAAAATGATTTATCAAGAAGAGAAAAGCTCTTATTCACACATGGTCAGGGTCTTGTGCTAAGACATGAGAACGCTGTTGAGTGTTTTAAACACAGGGCGCTCTCAGATAACCAGGTTCACTTGGTGTTACAGTTCAGTTTTTACTTTGGCGCAAAAAGTTCCCCGTCATCTCTCATGAGTGAGAGAGTAGATCTACCTCTTGGCCCGACTCTGTGCCATTAACACACCATGCATATGTGGGCGGATGTTGAATATGATCTGAATGTCATCTTAAGCCAAACATTTTAAACAAATGTTTGCAGTCACACACTGTAACCTGACATGGACCGGTAGACTTACAGAACATGAGGAAACAATCCTGTCTGGTCACCTTGAATCCTTTTGAAGAGATGTTTTCAGGGACCATCAAACATTACACATCAACATGTTTGCTGTTTTTAAAGCCAGGTAAGAGACTAGCTTTTAGAGAACATCAATAAATAGAAACTTTACAGTTATAAGTATACCTGTTACATTCTACATTTATAACTCCTGTAACCTGAAACATGTCCATCCCTCCTCTTACTTAAACAGCCTACCACAGGGTCATGCTCACAGTTCTTATTTCTTACTCAGGTGTTTAGTGGTTAAGCATGTGTATTTTTTCTTGCAGCAGAGCTTTCAAAGAGTACCTGTGCACTCAAGCCCCCCACTGAAGTGATCTTGTACAACCTTGCAGACCGCCCCCAACACTGCTTTGGAAACTTAACTGTGTAAGCCTCTTCAAGATCCAAGAAAAACCCTGCAAACCACTTGAAGAGACTTGTCATTATTCCACTGTCTGGGTGTTCCTACACACATAAACAAACGGATTACCTCGAAATCTGACTAACAGCGGGCGGTACAACATTTTAGATTCTATTTGTTTCATATAATGTGCGGCTGCATTTGTTTGTACAAAGCTTCTTTGTTTCCAGCGGGGAGAAAGACAAGACATGCAAGGAGACGAGTTTGCAAGATAATGAACACTCCATGTGTCTGATGCTGGCAAATTTACTGTCAGGCAAAAAAAGAAGAAAATATAATGTTGTTGTTGGGTGCCAATGCATGTGTGCAGTGCAGCTTCTTAATGGAGCGTAATGTGTCCTGGCCATGAGGACAGATCTGCAGTCATGAGACATGCAGCAGCAGACAGCACAGCTGATTCATTCACTTCATAGCATCTCAGACATATTACGACTGTGTGTAAATAGATGTTGACTGAGACAGCAGGCCACTAACCACCCCCAACCACCACTATCAACACACACACACACACACACACACACACATTTGACGGATGGCCTGTCTTCAGACACACTAGGACTACAAATCTGTCCAGGTCCCAAGGGCATTTTGGGAACTAAAGGAGGAGGTCTGGGGTGTGTGCATGTGGGTTGGGGGTGCAGAATCTAGACACAAAGGGAGTCCCAGCAGCCAGTGACGGAGTTGTGAATGCTGTTTTGGGGCTTGAGCACTTAGTGAAGGCACAAAAGTCTCAGCCTGAACTTGACCTGATGAGCTGAAGAGAGTGAAGCTGCTCCTCAAGGTCTGCAAGTCTGGGGTGTGTCAGTTTGAGTCCATGAACATGTAGCAAGCAAGCGATAAGATACAAAGATGGTCGCTATGGTTAAAAAGCCATGAGACACGATATATAGTGTAACAAAACATTCAGGACAGCAGTGTGAGGCTCAGTGACACAGAGACAAACACTCTTGGGCCAAGCAAACAATTAAAACCACACCTGAACCTCAGCGTCTGTCCACACCACTGCTCTGCTCTTCAATAAGGAAGTGGTTTCAAAGGTGCTTCATGTACACAAATATAAATGTGATGTTTACAGTCTGTGTTACATAGTAAAACAGACTTAGTGTTGTACCAGCCAAACTAACATGATTACAGTCAAACAAACACAACTGGTCCAGCCAGTGGAAGTGAGCATTTGTTGAAGCATTGCTATACAGAGTTAGCAGTGGTTAAACTCATTAAAGAGAGAGAAATTACTAAAGAAGTTTGAAAGCGTTCAACACACGATAAGAAAAGAGAAGTAATAAAAAAAAACAAAGACTGTAAAATTGCAAATCATTCAAACTATTTTGGATTGAAACTGATGCAAAAAGAACATACAAGATGTTGCAACTGAAAAACCTGATTGCTTGATAAAAAATGTAAATCCGATTTGAAATTGATGCCAGCAACAAACATCATAACTGTAGTAACAGGAGCATGATAACCATTCAGCTTCATCACTTTGTCTTTTATTAACAAGTTATCAGCTTTGATTGAGAAGAATTTGAAGCCCATGCCGTGATTTCCACAACAGAGTCAAGTCTGTTTTGTTTGTCTGTTTGTTTCTGTCCGTTTTTCACCACCTGAGGACAGAGTGTCATGGCTATCCAGTACTGAGTGCCTTTATTATTAGCATTACATGACTATTTCAGAGTTTTGTTATCCCTGTCCAGACTTCATCAGCGTATATAATTTTCATGAGACAACCAAATTGATCAGTTTAAACATCTGATTTTTCATCTTTGTACTGTTTTTTTTGTCAAAAACAGGGTTTAAGTTACTTGAAAACCCTCAAAATCTGTTTTCTTAACCTTCAGCAGATGTAAGAGTCCACCGCTATGCTGCCGAAATGAGAAATCCAAAACTTCTTCCAGATGACTTTACAGTGTGGATATTACTGCCACGTGCTCTCTATCTGTGTACGTGCTCGGTGCCCGGGCCACTAGAGTGCGTGTGCAGGTCAACGTCTCTGTGTAAAAACAGGCTCTGGGCCCCTCTGACTTACATTAAAAAAAGGAGCTCTTTCTTAACCCCCACAAGCTGAGCTCTGCTTTCCACTGCTATAACCTGCAGCTCAGGAGAGGTGGCAGACTCAATAAGACTCCTCTGAGAAACACTAAGCAAGTGTACAAATTCCCAGTGAAATTAATTACAGAAGCAGTGATGGCAGAAAGAAGTCTGTCTGGAGGAGGAACAAATCTTTTCTTTACATGCTGCTGTTGGCTTGTCTTTGCCACTCCCCTCCCCAGGGTCCCAGAATTATGCAGCCTATCCAGAGTTTGAAGACTTCTTTTCTCCAGGTTCATTACTTACATTCATTAATAATAAAAGGAAATAAAAACCAAACTAATTTCAAATCAACTACACCTTCACAAACAAACCAAACAAAAAAGGAGGCAAAAAAACAAACCCCAAACAAACAACAAAGAGCTTAGTGAGAGATTGGATTGGCTGTCTGGCGAGAGACTGCAGGGTAAATATTGGCTGAGCCTGAGAGTGGCTGTCTGTGCATGTGTGTGTGTGTGCGTCTGTGTGTATATATCTAGGTGTAAATGTGTGCGCGTGTGCCCATGTGTACGTCTTTCTGTATGTGTCTGAGTTAGAGTCAACAAGTAGCTGAGTGCGTGTTTGGCCTGAGGTAGTTGACAGATGACCCCACTGCCACCTACACACTAACACCACTCATACACGGGATTACAGATCAGGCCGTTTACATCCGTCTGGCTGGCTGGCCGGCCTGTGCTGCAGGCTAACTGTTACATACACACAGACGCAGACAGCCACTTGAGTCTCTGACACATGGACCCAGGCCTTTCCCAAGAGGAAGGAGCATGTATACAGCTTTACTGCTGTGTGTGTGTGTTTGTGTTTGTGTTTGTGTGTGTTTGTGTGTGTGTGTGTGTGTGTGTGTGTGTGTGTGTGTGTGTGTGTGTGTGTGTGTGTGTGTGTGTGTGTGTGTGTGTGTGTGTGTCCAGAGAAGCATAAATAAGATGCAGATATTTGGAGAAAATACCCTGCAGTATCATTTCACTCTGTCTCTGTAAAAATTGAAGGCTGAATTATGGAAGCAGTACCGAGAGCAAAGAGCCCTGTTTTTCTTTTGGCCTAATCTGTTCATTTTTTTATGTCTTCGAGATGCAGTCAGTTTGGGGTAAGTGCGGCCCTTAGCAGAACAGACCCCGTAGAAATTGAATATCATATTCAAAAGTATGTTTAAATTTGTCTTTAATGACCTGAATGAACTTCAAACTTAACTCAGAAGGGGCCTTTCTTTTACAAGTCCACATAGGCAGCCATCTTGCACTGCCATGTTTCTACAGTAGCTTAAAATGGACAAACTATACACCGTTTGCATTTTTGTGTTTAGTGCATAGAAGACAGTAGTTGTTGTTGTGCACATTAAATGGAGGATCATACTACTGCATCACAAAAGAATCTTGTCCTCAAAGGCCACCATCCCTTCACCAACAGGATGGGTGAGCAAGCGAGCACTTACATCTAAATATCACCCATTATTCCCTTTTCACTGTCCCCACACACTGAAACATAGAGGCAGCTACTGTCCTTGTCCCAGTTTACATGTACTGGGCAAGAATCAAATGGGTGTCAGAATTATCTTCAGTAGGTGGCATCACTTTTGAAGCTCCCTAAAGTTTATTTGTATGGCCGGAAAGTTTCATCCATGCTATTCAACTCCCAGCATGCTCAGAACACTTGGGCCTGTTTCAGTCTGATTGTGCCATATGAGAGAGAAAATCGATTCCCCAATTTCATTATCTACATATGATTACCGGACTATGAGTAGTTCATTTAGTGCATGTTTACATGCTTTTAAGGGTCCAGTTTCAGTCAGACTAAGGCAATAGATTCACTCCTTTGAGCAACATGTAAACACACTGACTGGTGGCACTTTAGCTGCTGGGTTACTAATGCTAAGTTACTTGTGCATTTGTGTTCTGCTGCAAATTTTGCTCAGTTGCAACAGCTGATGTCAAGACTTAAGGTGAGAAAATTGGCTCAATGGCCGATCCTCTATCAGTTAAAAAATGTTTGCAAATTTGCATCAGGAAATCCCACAATCACAATGAAATATTCAATTCATCAAGACACACAAATCCAGCCGGGTTTAAAATGCCACTCAGACGACCTGTTACTTTTACCAAAATTTATTGATACCAGGAAAGAATTTGTTTGTTCATGTCCAATCCAGCAGTTCACAGAAGTTTCTAAATGCATCCTTGATTATCTAATCTGCTTCTACAAACCCTCTATTTTCCAGATAAACTCCCTCACTGGTCTGTGTGCTTTCACTTTTGTTCCAGACTTTTCTGAGAATCCACATTACTAAATACAGCACTGACCCGCTACCAAGTTGTGTCCTTCTGACTGAAAAAGAAATGCGTATTTGCATTAGGTGAAGGAGTAATGACCTCTCACAGTTGGCACATAATATTTGCCCGCTTGTTTAAAAAGACAAGGCTGATAGGAGTCAGAGTCAATACCAGATTAAAAGACTTAAGAGTCAAAGATGTTGCCGATGCTCTCACCCTGCAGGGACTGAACCATCACACAGAAACCCAACATCCTATTAAACTAGAATAATGTGGGTAATGGTTTCTATCGCCATGGAAATGTGACCAGATAGAAAAGAGATTAAAACACTGCTGAGTGTAGGTTAAAGCTGAAGAATCTGCATAAGTACAGTAAATACGAAACTGTGGTGTTTGACCTCAGGACTGTTTAATACCACACCTTCAAAACAAGAGAGCTGCAATCCAAGCCCAGCAACAGCTCCAGACCAACACTTGTTAAAGGTCTCTTCCTTTCAAATCCTACATGTGAATCCCTGTGTGTAGGCAGAGGTTCGACTCCTGGCCGTGACACACTGTCTGCGCTGTGATCCCTCTATGTTCGTAGTCCCTTTCAATTTTTTTTCTCCTCGTCTGAATAAAGAGGAAACACACCAGTGAGACCGCCCGCTCTGCTTAAAAAAAAAAAAAGGAAAAAAAGGCAGACTGTAGCTCTTTTCTTCAGCCAGAGAAATCATCAAAGCATGAGCTACATTATTCAGCCTTTGCCGAGTCTGCATGACAACACAGCCGACAAACAAGAGTTCTTTTCAAACCAGACGGCCACTACAGTAGGACAGCTATTTCAAACCACTTGTGAATGGAGCTCTCTCCAACTAGTGAGACATTTGGATGATAAGTACTGAAAACGTTTCACCAGCAGCATTCATGTGCTCACAAATACAGATGCATTCATAATCTTGTGTATGCTAATCTGTTTGTCATACACTGTAAATATCTATGATCACAATTATTAGACTCTCTTGCAGCACACTTGTCCAGTCTGAGGCACTTCTTCTGGATCATCTCATTAGGCTCCCTCTGTTGTGGCAGTGTGTCTGTGGACGCACCGGCTCATGCCTGACTATGTGCGTTTTTCCTGGCTAGCAATACGATGATGCCACAGAAAACGAATGGTCGCACACCAGTCTGTCTGCCAGACACACACACACACACACACACACACACACACACACACGCTTCTTGGTTACAATGTGGCGTCAGCACAACCACCCATTGCTGCCAAATCTGAATCTAATATCCTGCGTTCACCTCACGTTGCCCAGGCCTGGCCCTCAGCCCCAATGGAAATTACACATCACTGTAACTCTGTCCGTCTATCCGTCTGTAGCTTGTCTGTGTGTCTGCTTGTCTGTCTCTCAATATGTGTGCCTGTCTAGCTAGCTTCAGATGTCTGTGTCTACATCTCTGTTTATATCTCTGTCCGTACATGTCTGGCTGCCTGCTTATGAATCTACCCGCCTGTCTACATGTCTGCTGTGTGCCCGTCTCCTGTTTATTTGTCTTTGGCGGTCTGTCTGCAGATCTGTCAGAATGGATACATACTCTGTCTGTCTGGCTGTCCTCTGCATTACTGCCTGTCTGTCTGCCTGCCTGCCTGCCTGCTTGAATGCCTGCATGTGTCTGTCTCTGCTTCAGTCATAAAAAGGAACATCTGCAGTGGATCTAGCAGGCAGCAGCATTAGGGCAGAGCTGATAATGATAGTTTCTCTCTGAGCTGCTCAGAAGGCAGACAGACATAACATACCATTCCAGCGTTTCCTGTCTGTGCTGACAGGCAAACTATTTAACCCTCTGTGGTGATCTCCCAGAGCATATGCACAGCCATACAGGCCCTGTGAGGTTAAATCTCTGAGTATTTATGGCAGGAGAGAGAAAACTTACAGTTATATCAGAGCTCAGGAAGATGATAGTACAGTAAATCTGCAGTACTTCCTGAAAACTCAGATACCCTGTACTGTACTGAACGATTAGGGCAGGCTGAGTAAAACAACATGTCCCTGTCCCTATGGTTACTGACGACGATCATTATAGGCTGTATCAAATACTGTTTGATACGCCAGTCACTCCAGTAGACGCCAGACTGAACTCTAAAGTTTATGTTTGACTTTACAAACTAGGGGTTGACTGATTATCAGCCTGGCTATTAATCTGGGCTTTTGCTTGGAAATCCAGACGAGTACTTTGATGTTAAATAAGAGATCTTCTAACTTTATCACATCAGATTCTGGAGGTAAAAATAACTTTCTACTTCTTGACCGAGAGGTTTTGGTTATCCATGTAAAATACAAACATACTCATGTGATATTATGATTATTCACCTTTAACATCTGCTACATTCAACTGAAGAGCACATGAATGCAGCAGTTCTACACACTTTTCTTAAATGCATTTTTAGATTGGTCACATTAAGTAGTCAGTGTTGTGTATCTCATGGCTATATTACTTCATGACCATTCTGAATGCAAGACTAAGTTACTTCTACCACAGTATTGCCATAGACAATATTCAAAATTTAGATTTCCTTCTTTACTGCATGGTGGTTCCAAATCTCTGCCATAGGTCTCATGAAGTGGTCTCGGTATCGGCCCTACAAAACTATATCAGTCGAGTCGACCCCCCCTTTTCAAACACAGACAACAGACAACAGCAAGTTTCTTCAAAGTGTTTCAGAGATATGAGGATCACAAACGGCCAAGAGAGGGTCAAGAGCAGAGTTTGTTGACCGTGATGGAGGAAAACCCGAGTCTCACTGGAGCACTTCTCCTGCACTTGAGACTGTACATGCGGATTAACTGAAGTATCTCGGTGGGGTTTTAAGGTCAGGAAAAAAAGCAACTACTGTTACTCACATATCTCCATTCCCTGTGGCTGGGAAGCGGTGCAGTTGCAGGAGCAGGTGACATTGGAGTTGCCGGGGCCGCCAGGGGCCGTTAGGTTTTGCATGGGGCTGGGCAGACCGGGACACCGCTCCGGGGAGAGAGCCGCCGCCACCGTCGGGGCCCCACGACGGGAAAACAACAAAAAACTTCCAGGCAGCGGCAGCTGAGTCCGCCGCTACGAGTAACTCCCGACAGTTTCGCAGTTATCCTCCCCGGGTCTTCTCACGCCATATTTATCTCGGAGTGGCTCGGACAGAGAATTAGAAGGAGGTTTGGGGACGAGCCATTGCCCGTGGCTAACGCATTGTGTAGTTTTTCCGTTCCCTTCCTTCGCCGCTGAGAGCAGCTGTCCTTCCTCCGCTAGAGCAAAGCAGACACAGCGAGCTTAGGCCCCGCCCATACACTGACAGACTGCTGCTTTGGCCAATCGGAGGGCTGAAGAGGAGGGACGGACGGAGGGAAAGAGAGGTGCTGCCTTCAGGAGCGAGCGGAGAAATACAGAAGCATTACCAAATGCTGCAATAGAGCTGCGAAAGGCTCTATTTACTTTAACAAACCATCCAGAGAGTCTTCAACCTTACAAGTGGCAAACATCTAAACTCATTCAATACTTGCACCATAAAAAATAAGGTCAAATGCAAATTTGATACCTTGAATCACAAACAGCTGATTAAAACATGTTAATCTTACATACAATTTACCTGCAGGCAAGATGGCATCACATATATTCAAGTTTTATTCAAAAATATAATCTAAGGAGTTGTGTGGAGATGCATATTAATGTATACCAACTAAATACTCTATTGCAAGTGAATTATGCAGCATTGCCTTAGTCTTATTTGCTACTGCCCCTTCATGATTAAAAAAGACTGTTTTGTTTATTGAGGGGCCCCTGTTTTCTAACTCATGCTCGGTGAGGGGGTGTCTGGTGTCAGTAGTTAATATTCATGAAGGTCTCGCATATATTAGTTGCAGATGCATCAATTGGCTATCATGCTGCTTGGCGACTCATAAACATTACAATTTATACAGTGCAGCACCTGTTTAGCAGACTGCTGCCTCTGCAGCAAAGTTTGAAGTCTTTACTGTCTCTCTGCAGCACTTTCACTCAAAGCTATCCTTATCATCTTCTCAGGTGTGTTTTGGGTGACTTTAGCACCGTTGTCAAGATGAATGAGAAACAATTTGTTGGGATTTTTAATTTGAACAGCTCATCCAGATGAAATTTGTTTAAAAGAAAGTGTCATTTCTCACAACACAGTCCTGCAATTGCATAAGCTGAAACACTCCAAACTAGGACATTGAGTTGTACAAGGAGAACATGAAGGCAGCAGCGGAGGAGGGACGGGATGGGATGTGTGTCTGGGTTACAGGAGGGTGGGTGCTCATGGGTGGGTTGGAGGGTGATGTGTGGGGGGCTGACCTGACTCAGAGAGCTAGCAGATGGCTGGGTCTTGGTTGACAATGGCTGTGGGAGAGCAGATCAGGGGAGAGGCAGGGGGGGTGGGGGGCAAGGCCAGGACTGGTCTGTCTGGTGTGTTATTTGGGGAGGGTGGGGAGAGCGCTTCGAGTTTCACTCCCTTGTTACAGCGGGCTGCAGCCAATGGAGACGGCCCTTTGAAGGGGCTAACCTTGAGGTGACCCCCCGCGCCAGTCTTGTGGTTCAGGGGCACATGTGCAGCAGAGGAACAACCCCCCTACACCACCTCCCCATCCAACGCAACACATCCCCTCTGAGTCCAACCAACAGTGCAGCCCTCCCACCCAACACACCCTCACACATACAGGTCCACACACATGCAGGCACACTGTAGCACAGGAGCGTTTGCAGACTATAAATAAACAAGGGTGCTCAAATCTGAGAGAAGCTCTGAATGCCACCCTAGACCAATAGGTTCCCAAACTATGGTCCAGGAACCATCAGGGGTCAATGAATGGATATAAGGTGGCCCTCTAAAGCACATATGGCGGGTTTCTTCCACACAGTTATGTTTGAAACATTTGATCGGGTTTGGTAAGGTAAACCCTGATCTTACTTGGGTTTCCAGAGCCAAGTGTATGACAGGCTGAAAGCTGCATTGGCTCTGTTTCCGCAAATTATGTCACAAGCATGATTTCATTTTGAAGTTGTGTCCAGGACAGCTATTTGGTAAAAGAGGTCACTTGCACAGCTCTTTATAGAAGCCTACAGCAAAGTTTCTTTGGAAAAGAAAAAAGTTATAATGACCATTTATATCAATTAATAAATCAGACTACAGGAAATATATCCTCTTGTCAGATCTACCTCTCTTTATGCATCCATCTCTGTGCCTATCTCACAGCTCATTGGCTGTGTGTAAATTAAGCACCAATTTCTAAACAGGTTTAAACTTTCTCCTAATGCGACCAATCTGGAGAGCTGTAATTATTCCCTAATCTTAATAAAAAACGGAATAAAAACTCTTCATCGGGCAAGTAATTTCAACGATTAAATAGGGGATTGCATGGTGTCTAGTGCCACCCTGAAGGGTAAAATATGTCTGATGCTGTCCCAAGAGAGGAGTGCAAACACAGTAGAATGGCACTGATAAATTATTTTGGCCTTTTTTCAGGTGTAAACTCAAACAATCCTGTACCGTACCAAATTAAACAAAGCTGGACTGGTTGGTGGGAATGCAGATGTTTGGTTTTTAATTTTCTGAGCGTGGGACAAAAAGAAAATAATGCACTCATTACTCTCCTGCACCACAAAAGTCAATCTTATCTTTTACAAGCCCTGACTGAGAACAGTTTGGGATCTGCCTGCTCTGAAGGGGGTTTGCTGTTTCAGTTCAGAAAACACCAGTAACCACTGACATTAAAATGGCCCTCTGTGAAGGAAAATAAGTAAATGGGAAAAGCAAAGACCTCCAGCAGATGTTGTGCATTAAGTGCCGCATCACCAGCCAAGTTTCATATCCAATCATGCAAAAATATTTGCCTCAATGGCTTTCAGTGAATCCCACACTCTGAAGTGACTCTTTAGGAAGAGGAGAAAAAAATCGACGTGTGACCCTGACGCAATTTACAAACGCCTGGCAGCTGACATAATTCTATTGAAGCAACAAATTGAGGCGCTGCTGTCTTGTCAGCCGAAGCAGCGATATCAATCGAGACACTGAGGAGATTTTTTTCTGCTTTGATGTGAGGTCATTCTCATGTCCTTACACACACACACACACACACACACACACACACACACACACACACACGTAAAGACACACCTCAGACATGCACGCACATCCCAGACAAGCTCTCATATTAAGACACACTCAGACGCGTCATTCTTTTGCAGCCCACCTCTATCCACTCACAAGTACCCCACCACCACTACCAAACAGCACTCACACACACTCAGACACATACACACACACAGTCTGTCTGGAGCGTCAATTTAGTCCCCCAGGGAGCACGCAGGGTGACACCACTAACAGGCCAGACCAGACTAGACAGCCAGCAGACAGATAAATACTAGGCACGGCTGAATACCAAATGCACTCTAGTCTACCAGCTCCCCTACCATCCCCCCTGACTGCAGTCTGCGCACACACACACACACACACACACACACACACACACACACACACACACACACACACACACACACACAGACTCTCTGTGTCTCTCTCTCGGGAAACGTCTGTCTCATCATGTATTTGAGGAATACTAACTTTAGGTTGATAGGTTTATCACGCTCAGCACGTGCACATGTGTCTATTTTAGGAACTTTGCATGGGGCTTTCCTGCTTCCACAGACCTTTCCTGCTTATTCAGGAGTCTCTCTTGTTTTGTGATCATGTCAATCAAAGCATGAGATGTTCATATTGGGCTTTATAAAGCTAAAAATACTTTCCAATATTAAATGCAGGCAGGAAAGAAACACCAACACCAAGTGTCAGCACACCGCTTACAATACTAATACATGTCTGCTCCAACTTCTACTGAAGCCATGGGAGGGAGGCCTGTTGTGCATGCGTGGGAGAATGTGCATTTCTGTATCTGAAGATTAATACGATGTTTCCTGCCAGTATGCAATAAGGAGATGGCTGAAAAGATAAGGAACAAACTTTTTCTCTTATCAGCCACAAATGTTTCAAGGTTTGGTTTAGATGTAAAGGATGAGGAAATAAACACAAGGAGGATGTGATCAGGCTAAAGCTGACTGAAGCAGCAGGGTGAAAAGTCCTTCCTTCCCTTCCCCTAAATAAAAAAAAAAAACACATTACATCCAGACTGACTTCTTCATCTGAGCTCGTATAGAGCTGACTGAGACGCCACCTCATAGCGCCATCTTGTGGCTGTGTTAGGAAAAGCTCTGTTTCATGCATCACCCCAAACATGGACTGGAAAACCTGGTCTATTTGTCTGGTGTCTGCTGCAGCTCTCCTCATCTCTTTTTTTGGTCGAGTCTTTTCCTTCTGAAACCAAAGCTGTCTCCAAGGCAGGAGTTTAAGTTTGAATCAATTAGACTTCATCTTCATCAGAGAACCACGAGGGAGCACGGGAAGGAAAATGAAAGAGTGCCATCCTGCTGTTTACTTTGCGGAGGCACTCTGCTTTCTTTAGCACTGAGGATGCAGGGCTAAAAGACCCTTTTCAAAACACTGTTTATATCATGTATGAATACAGAGACGTTACTGGTAGAAAGTATGTAAAAACCTCCCTCCACAGATTTCTTTTTTTTAACCTTCATACGTTGGGGAACAACAGAAAACTTTGAGTGTTAGCATGTGCAAATGTTTTACTGTCTTGCAAAGTATTATCAAAAACAGTCATGTGATGTTTTTCTGTAGCAATCCAGAGAGTTAATGTGCCAAAATTAGGTTCAAGCTTGAGATCAGAAGACTTTGAAGAATTCAGCAGTTTCAAAATAAAAGGAGTCAAATATTCAACGCCAGCTATTTGAAATAATTTAACTGATTCAAAGCTACTGTCAGGAGTTTTTAGCTGGTTACTAAAGAGACTAAATAGTGGAAAATATGTCCATGCATTCCTAACCTGATCCTAACCTGAGTGTTGCACAGCCATTAAGTCCTAAATTTGTACAGTTCATGAAAGATGAAGCTGATTAATAGAAAACACAAGAGGTTAACTTTGATAGATGCAGAATTGTGTCCTTGGGTGAAGATCAGCATACTAAAAGAAATTATAAAATGTCTCCAGATAAAGGTTTTTTATTCAACAGGTTTGTCTACTTTCTTTTGGTTTAGCAATTCATTCATTATTTTAGCTATTTTGTCTTCTGCCGTGTGTCGCTCTCCAATATTTCTTTCCAGTTTTCTTAGAGCCCTAAAATAATAAATTCTGAAATACAGTTTAGTTATGTTATCTAGCTGGATCGAGTTGCACACAATCCTTTAACCTTTGAGCCAAGGGTGGATTGAGAAAAATATCC